AATAAATAGAGGAGCAGTCCAAATTACCATGATAAGATCAAAGGTTGAGATTGGGACCCAAAGGAGTAATGTTCAGACCCTAGCATTGAGCCAGATGCCATGTTAAACACATGTGAGTTACTTCCGTGTCATTGTATTCTTTATCGCATTAATCCCCCACCCAAAGGACTCCGCCACTTTCAGTACATATACTGCTCGTCAAAATCCGTAAACAGCCCATTCAGATCCTGATTTCCAGCCATACTCGATGCCCACGCATTCAAATCCAGCCCTCCACCATAAGGCAGACCAAACATCAAATTTTGATCTGTAATAGGATCTCTGATACCCCAATTCGTCTGCTGTTCAGGCGATTGCTGCTCACTTTCCGGTTCAGGTGGAGCTGCAGGAGCTGCATCATGACTGTCGTCAACAAAATCGGACTGTCGAAGAAGACTGTGTATCGCGAGTCGCTGGCGGATGTAGGCATCTTTGGCGAGCTTCGAAGATTGGGCAGGATTTAGATCGGTCGTTGTTGTGATGGCGCGGTGGTCCGATGACTCAAGCCACTGTTTGTGCTGCTGTATAACTCTCTCAAGTTCTTGTCGCTACCACCAAGTTAGCGACTTGAACCTCATCAAACTGGGCAAGCTTACCATGGACTTCAGTTGTTCGGAGAAGGCAAAATATCGTGTGATGACATCCAAGCACAATTGCGCCTTATTGATCGCCATCTGCATGGGCAGCCCAGTATTGTCTTTGCCTGTGTATGTTCCGAAAAGTACCAACCTGGCGGCGTGGTACGCACAGATAGCTGCATCAAACTCAAGCATTTCATTCTCTTCCTTATGCTGCACAAAGTCCGACAAGACCTTAACGATTTGTTCGGCGTGCGACAGGCACTTGTCTTTCATCAACCCCTTTTCGGCCGCGGAAATCCCTTCAATCGTTGCGTGTGGTGTAGACTCGGGATATCCAGTGAGGAAGATTCGGTAAAGATCGCAGTGGGATATGTGCCAGCTCATGTGCTAAATGTGTTAGCTAAGTCAGAGCTTCATGCAATGATCCTTACCATTACAAAGTATTGTGGTGATAAATGAACGTCTTGTGTATATGAAGACGGGTATTGATCGCAAGGCGCAAGTTTGGTCCGTAAGCGAAGAAGATCGTTCTGAAACCTTTCCATCGATGAAAAGAGTTCGGGTAAATTGACCTCTTTCACGGTTATTCGTCGATTGAGTCTTACAATGGCTCTTCGAATGAAAGCCAATCGCACAAACGCAGCCCGAGGTCTCAGGACCTCTGGTTCGAGCCCTTTTCCGGGCTGCAAGTATCCAGTAGGGACATGTCGTTCTTGCTGAAAGTCGGCGTCTTCGCAGGGAAGTTGTAGGTAGATTGTATCGGCGTCGAAAAGTTCGAACTCCTTGAGACCGACACAAAAGCTATCCTCAAGAAGGGATAAAGACCAAAACGTTCGTCTGCGAACTTCTTGGGCGACGGGACTCAACTTGGAGTGTTCGTAGTTGAGGCGTATCGCTGCAGCCCATCTAGCTGCAAGTCCAGCCATTATGAATGCCCTGGGAAACTGTCCCACAGCAGCTCTGTATCGTATCAAAAGGAGGGATGCCTGTATCTTGAAAATGGAAGGTTGTTCGAGGCGGTCGAGTATAAGCTGCTCAGCTTCTCCTGCCCATGCATCGCGCTCGCCTTGACATTGATCGAAGTAGATGGCTGTGATAGAGCAAATGGCCAACTGAAGCGCTCGATCGACGGTCTTGTCGTAACATCTTTGGATGACCGTGGCTTGGTGGAGGAAGCAGAAGGCAGGAAGGGGATAGAGCCGCTCGAAGTACTGATTGACGAGCGAAATGATCGCCTCGTCGGGAATGAAAGACGGGCCTTCGTCGATTGAGTCAAAGGGGATTGATTGAGAGCTTGAAGCAATACTTGGGCGTTGTTTTCTGGGTGAGATAGCAGCATGAGATGTTGTCACGGAGACCGAATCATCTCGAGACGACGAAGCTTCAGTTGTTGATGACCCAGCTTTTGAGACATATGTGCACGGTCTATTTCGCCTCACACAGTTGGTACATTTCGGAATATCGCCAGAACATCGGACCTTCATCGCCCGACATTCCTGACAGGCTTTCGCACCACGACATTTTGGCGGTAAACGAGGCGCAGACTGACCACTGGAACCGTCTTGTTCAAAGGAACACTGAAAGTTGAGTCGTTCACAGGTGCGACAGCGAGGAACTGTGCCGTCACATCGGACCTCCAGGAGTTAGTACCGACCGAGTACCGGGGAGTAAGTTTGTACATACCTTACGGACTCGACATTGGACGCAAGCCGCTTTCATTTCAGGTTTTCGCTGTGCTGGTGAAGAGTCTTTGAAGAACTTGGCGAGCCGACATTCCAATTCAATGAGGGTTAATGTTCAACGGCGGATGTCTCTTTCCCGAAATGTTGGTGCCATTGATTGTACTTGACTTAGGGTAGAAGTGTCATATCCCGCTCCGCGAAATAATAGTGCAAGGAATAAACTCTGTTTCCTCGGTAGTACATTTCAATGCACCTCGGAAAGATCAAGTTCCGACCATCTTTCTTAGTTGCTTCTGTAGAAATTGGAAGCACGCCATTCTGTGCAATGAAGGTAACTTCGTCTTTTCAGCCATGGAAGTGTCCAATAAAGTTATCAGGTACTCCCCGTCACATCACTTTGGCCCGCGATGGCGTGCGGGGTCTCCGCAAAATGCGACACCCTGTATCCAATCATGAGATTTAATGACCGATACGCGCATTAACCATGAAAGCATGGTTGAGGTGTTTGCGAATGTCCGGGTTATTTCCTGCAACTCCCCGAAGTTCCTTGTCGAGGCTCACCTCAAGTCGCAAGCATAATGAATGTGCAAGAGAACGTGACTTCAAATTGAGGTGTTTTCGTCAGCGAGCCAGTTCTTTGTTGGCGCGCCGTGCTATAAACACTACGGTTTCCTACCTTTGAGCCGTTGAATATCATTAAGGCACAATGGCAAGTATCGTTCAATTGCTTACTTGGGCCATGTCCTTCATCATTTGCGAAGACCGTGACCGGTTCAGCAGATTTTCATGGGCCTTCGACTATTTTTAGAGAACCAAACAAACGCCTGTCAAGCACGAGGTCGCTGGTGTTCGCAAATTCTGCCACACCCGACAGGCTCGCGATGATCTGTACTGAAGCCCCAGACCGAATGGTCAACGAAGCTCTTTGAGCATGTGCCCCAACCCAGATGGTCAATGGGAATATTCTTCAGTTTCCAAATCCACAATACGTGAGATTTTGGCGTGCTGTAATTGCCAACACAGGATGGTCCCGACGATAGCTTGTCCTTAGAGATCATGAGCAGAAACCTATTGTGGTTCTTGCTTGATCACCGGCTCTGTCCTCACTTCTGATGGACTTGGTGACTGGTGGGGGTGCATATTCAACAGCCTCGTGCTCATTGGAACTGGAGGAGCTGTGAGGATATTACTCTCCACAGCATTAGCTTGGGAGGAACTTTGCTGACCTCGCTGCGCTGCTTGTCGCGCCGAGTTGTTTCTCACAATTCCCGAGTTATTGCCACGGCCCAACAGACGCCTATTTGGCTGTCCCCTGTTACCTCTGCCATTGCCGCGGCCGCGAGCTTGAACGCGACTGCCATAGCGGCGATGCAAACGGGGACCATGGTGTTGGCCGGGGCCTTGAGCTGGATAATTGCCTTCACCCTGTGTGAGTTAAGGCATATGCGCTTGACCTTGAGCTGCATAATTCACCTGACCCTGTAGGGGCGGAGACATGTATGCAGGCACAGGATGCGCATAAGGATAATAACCCGGCGGCACCGCGTTTTGGTACACCACCGGGACGTAGGGAGGAGGGTAGATATATGGTTACGGCGGCGCAGCGTAAGGGACTTGTCCATACGCTGGGTATGCCACAGCCGGGGGAGGGGGAGGAAGAGGAAAGGGAACAGGCTGGTAGGCCTGAGGGTAGCCTTGAGGCACCGCTGGAATGGGGACTTGTCCATATCCTGCAGGACCAGGCGCATGCCCTGGGACACCTCCAATGTGAGGATGACCCATGTTTCCTCTTCCGAAACACTGACCGCGTCCGCATCGAGACTAGCCTCTGTGGCCGTTGCCACGAGTTTGGTTGTTCATCGTTGCTGTTTCTGCTGCTGTTGTTTGTGAATATTGGAGCAGAAATGTTACGACGATAATGTTGAAGGAGAAGAGAAGAAGCGAGAGAGAGAAGGAAAAGGCGGGGGTAAGAAAACAAAACAAGAGAAGCAAGAGGTTGCCCGCACCTGCCCGCCGGCTCTGCCACTGCCAAATCTGGAAGCGGGCTATGAAAAAGAGTTGGGACCAATTTTCAGTCATTAGCTTGAAGAGTATTCTAGCGTCTCTCTTTTGCGATGATCTTCTCACGATAATGGACAGAAAACAAGTCGAAGACTGATTCACGAGTGGGATTTTTGACGAACCTGAAGGCAAAGAACTGACAACTGGACGGATCTGAACAACGTTTGACAGCTTTACGGCATGGGAGAGCGACTTAATATTGCAGACTTGACGGATGTTGACAAAACACTGCCCAAGCTTGATAGATATAGAAGGGCACTGAAAGAAAGTCTAAAGCAACTTGAGGAGAACGAAGGTCCTTCGATGCCGCAATGAAGTGATGGGAATCTATGAACTAGCGAAGAGCACAACACATCGCACAACTTACTTGGTGGCGATTTTGCATCAGTCACAGTTTGTTCTCTTATGTGGCAGAACCAGCATCCAGTCTTCACATCAATTCCATTGTCAATGTCTATGCTTCCTTTGGCTCATCCCATGTACCCAAATGTTGATATGTCCAGAGATTCCCCCTTTCCATCGGAGTCCTTGCATAACCGATCGCGATACTGCTTGGTCGTTTTCGAGAAAATAGATGCCTTTACTTCGGCATATTGGGTATGCGTTTTTACAATGGCCTGCAACTATCCATTAACATTCGATCTCATGTAGATGTTGATACGGACTCACATTTACACAGAATCCTGCAAGCCCACCATTCGTTCCAGTTTCATTCACATACATGATGTTGCGTGGAGCCTGGCTGGCATCCCTTCGGCCATATCACCTTTCGGCCTACTCTTGTTCTTACTGCCATCTGAGTCGTCCAGCATCTTAGTTCTTTGAAGAACCGCCACCGAGGGCGCGACAGTTGCAAGTGTTGATTGGACCTTTGAGGGTAAGTCCAGGTTCAAGAAGCTCCCGATAGACGCAGGGGTGACTTGACACCAAGAATCGACCTGGCATCTGACCGTGTTGTGGCCCTATCATCCATGGACCGATCAAAGACTTTAACAGGCTCAATAGCATTCTCCACGACCTCCATCCGGGGGTGGCAAGTAGCCTCCACGACCACCATCAGAGTTGGAGCCAAAGCCCCCACGACCATGGCCTCTATCACCTCCACGGCCCCGATCACCTCCTCGACCGTGTCCACGACCACCAAGCTCGGTCGGCGGCCTATCATAAGGACCCGGGCGGAATGACTGACCGCCGTTTCCTCCTCTCGTATTCTTTGGCATTGTGTTCGTCTATCTATGAGTTTAGTATCTGCCATGTAGTGATAACATGTGCTCTTACCGCAAATGTGTTTGTTGTTCTTGAGTTGGGTCGGGAATCAGAAGGGAGGGAAGATTGGCGTGCGAGGTAAGTGCGACAGTCATGCAGCTGCCAGGCGGCGGGCAGTGTCAACATCCGACACTGGTCCGTGACTTCCAAAGTTGTAGCCACTACGAAAATTCACAACTTTGATAAGGTACTCATGCATCTGTATTCACATTAAAAAAATCATATTATCTCATTCTTGTCCCCCTATCACTTGTAGTCATGCAGGACTACTGCCAATGTATTGGTGCAGGCCAGTCAAAAGAAACCGACGCACGACCAGAAGATTACCTCAAATACACGCCCCTGCCCCCTCCAAGGAGTTCCAACAAACCATTCGCAAAGGTCAATCGATTCCCCGGATCCCCTACAACTACGCAGAATAGACGCCGCTTCATGTTCTTGCTCTTCGAGCGATGGCTTCGATGGAAGAATTTCGCAATCAACTAGTGGGAGATGCGTCAGAGAACACAGGCTATCCTGGAGTCCTCTGAGGGCGAACCACTGTCCATGAGCCATTCATATCGGAAGAGGCGAGACTTAGACCTTGCTGTCGACTTCTTCATGTGGCGTTACAACGGTTGGCCTCCCCAACCCTCTGCTCCTGGATGCAATACTTACTGTCTTTCCTTCCAGCTCCAAGTGCTCCAGATCATGTCACCCTGAAACAACGACAATGGCCGTGGTATCCAGAGAATACCGTTGAATGCCGAATGAAGTACAATAGAGGATATACAATGTTGCGAAAACTGTACAGCAAACCACTCGAGACTTCAAGCTGTATCAACACACCCCCTTTCCCATGGACTCTGGGCGCCCGCAAGAGAAAACGTGTCGGAAATTCAGAAACTGAAGAAACGCCTGCGAAGCGTTGGCGGGGCATGGATGATGCGGACGACGGCCCCGGGCAAGACGAACCCTTACGTCGCCCACGTTGGCTTCGAGGATTAACGGAGTGTCCTCCGGTCTTTGACTGACAGACTTCAACGTCAAGGCAGGCATATTCACTCCAGGAAACAGTGCTTTTATCTACAGACCGTGAGCACCACCGGAATGGCCATTGGTAAATGGTATTGAGAGTTTCTGAGCGAGGAACTTCAGGTATCGAGATTATCGGGACAGCATCTGACCAGAATTTGGATCCATGTGGCTTAGCATGACAGCCACGATTACAGCGTTTTGTTTACACAGTCTCTCAATTCAGGTTATTTTAATCATATTTGTGTCTTTATTGTGACACATAGATTTGGGGAGGTGGCCAAGAATGTCGTGAGCGAGGCCTGTTGCTCACACAATCAATGGTGACGATTGCCCCTTGACAGCACCACCAGCCGACAACGACAAATAAGACTTCCCTATAACACAGTCAGTGGTTTGTTGAAGCCAATTTCAAATGTACCATGTAGTGAGGCAAATGGAAGTCCGTTGTACATAAGGTATCCCGTGTTTGCAAACACCGACTTAGAGGCTCTGTGAGACTCGTTGGTCACTGTTTCTTCCAATACAGCATCATCACTTAAGTCCACCGCAAGGAAGAGTTTACGAGATACACTGTCACGACTAAGATTGATAGTGTTCTTATTCTGCATTCGATACTCATCGAGGAGTAGTGTTGAACTGACAGTGCAAGAACGAACTAAGTGATTCCCCTGAAATTCCTTTGCAAGATACCAGCACATAAAAGTCCAACAATCTCAACCTTCATCGAATATCTTCCTCATCCTCACTAGAAAGCTCAGACACCCTACCAATCCTCTACTTCGCGTACTTGCTGATCCTTATCTTATGTGCTCTGCTAGGCATTCGCCCTCACATCTTCATCGAGTTTGAAGTGAAGTCGTCTGATAGAGTCAACGGCCGTGACCTTGACCTGTCGACACTGAACGCCATCGTGCTCTTCGTTCTTACAGATGTTATCATTCCATGAACCGAAGCTGTAGCCATACTTCACGATATCTTGAATGCAGTACCATGAGTTCTCATGGCCCGTTTCAAGGAATTCTTCGAATCGCCTAAAGGACCTGTCGACCTCCAAGTGACCAGCGAAGATTGCCTTCATCTCGAGGTCAAAGTTCTCATCTTCCACAAGGGGGAAATAACCGGCAAGCAATGTCAGTTTGTTCATCGGGCTGGCTACAGTGGTCTCTGGTGGTGTTGCGGTAGTCCTAATCGAAAATTTGCGGCTTTGGCTTGGTGGTGGTGTAGCAATGTGTTGCTCATACTCATTGAGTTCATTCTCCTTCTCCTCAGGAGAGCTCGACTTTGTGGCGATCATATCGTCTAGATCTTCAGAGTCCTCGAAACTGCCCTAGTATTCGGTGATAGGAAATGAATCTCCCGCGTCTTGATCCTGGGCTGTGTGAATGGTGCCGTTCTGTGATCGCAAAGAATTCTCAAGCTCCCAACATCGCTCTTGAGCCTCTTTGAGAGCGGTGTTGCTCTCGTTCAGGTTCTGATGCGCGGCTCTGTTGTCGTTTCTCAAAAGGTCAATCTCTAAAGTCTTTCGAGCATTCTCGGATCGTTCTTTGGCCAGTACCCTTTTCTTCTTTTGGAGTTGTTGTCGCAGTTTGCTTGTTTCATAAAGCGCAGAAACATTTTCCTTCTCGAGTTGTCGCTTGGTGCGTTCGAGATGTTTGTTTCGTCGTTCCATGTTAGAACTCTCTCTTTTGATGGGGCCTTTGTGCGTGAGCGCCTTTCGTGATCGAATTATGGGCTTCTGAGGTTGCTTCTGGCGATTGACTTAGCTATGGCAGTGCGTGCATGTTTCTCTTGCTGACTTACCGGGACTTGAACGCCTTGGAATTTGGTGCTGCGCTTTGACATCGTCTTTGGCTTTGCCGTCAAAGCTTTTAGGTATTTGGTGTTGTTGTCAAGCTGTCGTTTCATCTCCTTAAACTGTTCACCTTCTGGAAAGTCTTCAAGCCTCTTCTAGAGGCGACTCATCATATCTTCAAGGCGAGGCCGATTAAATCGAGGCTTCTCAGATGCATCTTTGTCAAACTTCTCATCAAGAAGCCACTTGGCATGATCACTGTCTTTCGCATTCTGAACTGACTCAGTGACCCGTCTGAGTTGTTGGATGGCATCTTCAAGAGGCGTTCCATTTGTGCGCAAAGAGCTGCGCACTAATCTTAGAACACTTCGTACTTCTGTATCGAGTTGTGGGTCCATTGCGACTGTGTTCAAATGCCTTGCATTGCACCTGATTTCTTGTTGTTTACTTTCTGAGTTGAGACCAGACTGGGCGGGGACGACATCGGCGCAAGTCACGTGACCACCCTTGTGGCAGACAGGCATTCTTTGAGCTTCGACTGGTCATTAAATAACTTGAGGATTTATATGTAGACTTGAATCTATCACTCATAGTGTATAAGCCGAACCAGTTCTTATAGTATCAATCTTTTCCTTCGTTTCCTGCAGCTCATACAAAACTATCGATGGGCGTCCGAGACTTTTCGACTGTACTGGCTTCTATCACCAGCTTAGCATTAGTTGAGATATCAGTGTAATGGAGGTCTTTGTATTCGGTTTAGTTTCAATTTGGTGTCAATAATGACTTAGTATGAGCGACCATGTCCGGCCCACAAGTCATCCCAATACCTCGACCGCATCACAACATTCTTTAAAAGCATTGGCTCACGCTGTGCGTCAGGAACTAGAGGCCGGTCCATGAGATCTGGAAAATCTTGTAAGAAAGGCTTCCCGATAGTATGATTCACATCGATAGTAGTCACGGTGCACGACAAAATGTTTGGCGACTGGCACCATGATGACGAAGATGATGGTTGACTTCTTCAGCAGGTAAGTGTTGATGTCTCTGCACATGTCACTCAGACTGGTCTCATTGTCCACGTTTCCAACTCAGAGAGTCTTAATCCCGAAGAAATCTTCTTCGGCTATAGGTATTTTCTTGACGAGGTGAATGATATTTGATTGTCGCGAAGCTTCGTCGGGATTGATGATGGTTATCCTTCGATGATTACTGTCCTCTCCATTGGGGAGATGTTGCAATTGCGTGCGATATACCATCCAATAGCTATCAATGTAGTTGTATCAAGGATCTCTGGGCTCATAGTAAACGATCAAGGGTTCCTTGTCGAGAGAAGATTCTGGTGTTGTCCTGGCGTGGATAGATCTTTTTGAATGGACCTTCGAGAGGAATTTTGGGATCATCCATCTTGGCGAAATAAGTAACGAATTCACGTATGCTGTCGTGTAAAGGAATAGACTGAAGATGTTTGATTATGATGGAGAAAGTGAAATGAAACGGGGGTTGTTGAAGTGTTGAGTGTCAACTGAATTGCACAGTTGGAGGCCGTTCCTTACTGACGGATGGAAATATGAGGACCGCTCTCAGCCTGCAATAAGGAGAAAGAGCTACGAAGGAGGGGAACTAAGAAGCCGTCGAGGGTGTCTTTCATAAGGTAGGTAAGCTCTCCACCGGAGTTCACAGACTTCACTTCACCATGTCAAGCAATTCTACCTTCGCTCACCTTGAGATCTATTCATATATAGACTGGGCAAGCTTCTACGTATCAAAGACTGATATTGCATTGACATATCCATCGAGCTATTCAAATACAAAATGAAAAATACAAATAACCCGCCAGACGCACACCCAAGGCCCTACAGTCCCATGTCCGAAAGGCCGAACACTCAGTCCTTACTCTCCTCGACGAACGACGGGTGACAATCGCGCAATAAAGATCCCCGACCCCTACTCCGGTTTCATGGCTAAACAGCTCAGTAACTCTCCGCTCCGGATCTCGGGAAGCATAAACATATAACAGTACAAAGTACACTAATCTCTCAAACCTCGTCGGGATTCTGGTGAGACCGGCGAGACCGGCGAGAGGCCCTTGGTATCTTGAAAGCTACTGTTCCCTTGTGACGACTGGACTTTAGAGTCAGCTCCCATTCATTCCACATGGGAGCGGGGATCCAGTTCCAGTCAGAGATCTCGGTTCTCGCCGTATTCGAAGCCCGAGACGCTGTAATATAGAACCCAAGCACGGGGAATGGCTCCCGTTTAGCGAGCTCGCCCCAATTAATCAGATACCGAACATCGTCTGTGAAGTTCAGTCTATCTCCTGATGCAAAGTCCGTTATCTCCAAACTGTTGTTGCTCTTCATGACAATGGCGACCTGGTTCGAGTACGCCCGCAAGAAGTGCTGACACAGCTGGTTGTAATCGGCTTCCTGGATTTCGAAGTCTCTGTTGAAGAAACCACCGGTGGAAGGCATTGCAATACCTTCACGGGCCGCCAAAGCGGAAATAGATTGCCTGTAACTCATCCACTTTGACCTAGTCAACGTGGAGGCTGAGACCCGGCCATCGATAATCAGCGAAGCAGTGCTGGAAGGACAAAACCCTGCAGCATGCTTCGCCCAGACAGCCTCCATCAAGCCCATATTGGTCCAGAGAGTGCCGTACTGAGCAATAGAGGAGGTGCTACTAAAGTCAACAAGGCTTCGAATCTCCACCATGGCATTCTTGTTGAAGTTTCGCCAGTCAACTTCGACCAGTCGCTTCATACCGACCCACAAAGCCGCAACCAGGTGCATCTTGAGTTGGGTGACATTTGGCGCAGATCGAAGTGCCATCGCATGTGCGGCCTTGCCGTTGAACCATATAGTCTGGTTGAGGTCGTGGAAGAACCTCACATGTTGGGGAGCGATGGCGGAACCAAGAGCAAAATCAGTAAAAGTGTTGCTGAGGAGGCCTTGGACCTGTAAGCGCTTCCATGTTTGATCAATAGCACCACCAATATCATAATACGCAATGCCATCACCCGCAGCTGTGGAAGCAGTGGAATTATGTTCGGTAGCAGCCGCGTTGTCCCTTTTCAAGATATCAAGGATATCGAACGTTTCATCAGGCCAGTCTTCTAGATCCGTCCATGCCGCGACAAATCCGTCAAGCTGCTCACAGGCAAACTTCATGCGACGAGGGAAATCAAATTCGGGAGAGTCAAGGTAATCTTGAGGTGCATATAAACGCACGTTCGTATCAGCGATGTTGAACCACGACGCAGCAGACATCTGGGCTTCGCGCTCTCGCTTCGACAGCTTGAGTGTGACTTCAACCTCGTGTCCAGTCTGCCGATCCAAAATGGCTCGTCTCCGCACAAGGTTTGGTACTATGTGCACATTTCCAGTAATCTCAAGAATCAGGTCGGCCTCGAAGGTTTCGGGAATGGAAATCAGCATATTCTCATTGCTGGCCGTGATGAGTTCCAGAAACCCAGGGTGGATCAATTGGACCTGTTTGAAGTTCTGGATGAACGGGTCTTCGCGCCATTCATCAGGCATAAGATCGTCACCACAGAACGTGATGATCGTATTCTTTTGATTTCTTCCTTCTCCTTCGACCCACCACTTGACTTTGCGTAGTACTTGGTTTATATCGGACGCGTAAACGTGTCTAGGGGCGTAGTAATCTTCAACTTCGAGTAATTCAAAGAACTGGCAGTAGTTGAAGTGATTGAACAACTTGGTGATGAATGGGTGGATGGCTTCGGACGACATGGTCATTAGCTTCACAATGGTATTCGGATTCTGCTGATTATGATTGAATGTAGAAGTGAAGATCGTCGCAGCGTTTAGCGCCAGGACGAATTCCGCACTAAACTCAGGCTCGACGTCCATCAAGAACATTGTGTACGGATGACAGAAGTCCTGGGAGTCTTGGTTCCAGAAAAGGGGATCCCGAAAGCTCTTGAGCAGAGTGAAAAGCTCGGCGTACGAATAGACTGTCACATCAGATGTGACCAACATTCCATCTTCTAAAGCTCCTTGGGTGATTCTGGCGAGTTTGGGCCTCAAGTTCTTGTCGATCATTGACTTTTTGCTTTCCGCAACGACAATAACGATCTTAGTATCATCGGTAACTCTACGGAGATACAACCTGTCTGGGATCTCGTAGATGTTCCCAGCAGCGCCCTTGAACTTGAGATGGGCGAAGACGCTGTCCTCTGGATTAGGGGTTTCAATCCAAGTATCGATATCGGCGATGACATTTCTTAGGGCGTTCTCGAGGGCCATTTTGTTTGCCGGTACTGATAGGATGGAGATGGGTACTGGTATTGCTGTTGAGTTGGTCGCAGGCTTGGTGGGAGCATCGATGGGTATTATACATCTTTCAGGTGCCGGTACTGGTAGAACAAAGAAAAGTCAATAATCTGAGTTCCCAGTTAAGATAAAGCCAAGTGCCACTCCTTCTTGGGATCATACTTGTTTGCAATTTGCTATAGTGTTGAAGTGAGATGTTCCATGTGGCGATGGGAAGTCTCCGGAACCCTTGTCGTTCACATTTTCATGGTTGTGAATCTGAACGTCTTTAACAGGTCGATGAGATTATTGTAAAAGTACATTTAAGAAGCATAAGCGAAGAGTAGTCATATGATCTTCAGTAGTTAATTCTTTGTTGAAGTTGGCGCCACATTATCGCAACAGCTTCGGTGGTCTTTGCAGTACTAGACCATTGTCAGTTTCTCTCCCCTTTCTTGTTGGACTGTTACTTACTCTTTTCCGCAAGTATTGTCATCTTAGCTGCTCTTAGTGTTATTTCCAATTCTTCATTCTTTGTCTGGACGTTGGGGGGAGTGGGGACGGGACGGGAGCAGGAATCAGTTGTTGGTTAAGAACAAAGGAATAGGCATCATGGATGATCACTCCCTGCCCATCCTTCATAACAATGAGTTCGTATCATTGAAGAGTATTGACTTGGAACTTCGCCAGCGGGTTTGTTTTGCCCTTGTTGTACATCAACTTAGTTGGTATCGGACCGCCCCCTTGTTCATATCTTGTCCAGACAGACTTGAAGAGTCCCAAAACAGACCAGAGCGTTCCACAGTCAGCAATGTTTGCCGTGCTACTCTTTGCCGCTAGACTTTTGACCGCGTCAATATCAGAGTTGCTCGCTCCCTTTCAGAAGATGTTGAGCAAGTCTTCATACCCGACCAATAGTGTAGCAGCTGCCTGAAGTTTGATACTCATTAGTCGAGCCGTAGATGGAAGTGAGAGAAAGTGTGCTACTCTAGCATCATAGCCGACACAGGGAAGTAGTTGATGAAAAACCTGTTGATCGTATTGGAGAGCCTGAACCGAATGACTGAGTTCACCACAGAAACTTCGATCCGGCCTTGAAGCTACAAACGTCGGATCATTTCACGTCTGGTAAGCTTTTTTTCTGGTTCGACCCACTGGAGCATATCCATTGTCTTTTTCGGCTATAGTCCAAACCAGCCAGGCTCACAACGAATCCACTCAAGTTCCAGTTGATAGCACCTTTGCGGCGAGGTGGATCGGAGGCCTTTCATTTCAACTATTGATTTGACGTGTAGAGATAGATTTGAGACTGGTCCCTATCGAAACGCCGAGGCCATGCCATCTATTTGTTGTAACCTCTCTGATCGTGACACCTCCAGACAGACTTCGGTGTCAAACTGATTGGAAAATCCTCATATGGAATAGTGTGATCGTTGTCCAAGAAGGCAGGGTAGGTGTGAGTACAGAAGGAGGAGGAAAAGATGCGTTTGATCAGGAAGAAGGAACCAATGGCCTTAAGGTTGATAGTGTCCTGGGCGGGGGAGACCAGAGGGTTTGCCTTGAGTTGGCGGGGGACCTGAAGAGTGTGCACAGTAGGGAAATGGAAGATCAATGCATTCTTGGCGGTCTTTATAGTCACTTGACTATAGCCGATGGAGGTAAGTTGGTCACTCTGGTCCCGGGGGAGGGAGCGAGGAAAGTCGACAATGACATCAGGGATGACGAAAGGTAAGCATTTATCGAGAGACAAAGTGATATGAAAGTCTTTCTTACACACCACGTGAGTGTTGCGAGAGGTGGTGGCTTCCATGAAGGCTGGGAGGTTTGCAAAGTAAGAGGCAACTGGGTGATATCAACTTTGGAAACAACAGTGACCTCACTTGGTTTGGCGCGGATGAGTTCGATTCCACGGCTGAGGAGGGCTCTTATTCCCGTTGTTGGGGAATCCCAGGTACATAGGCATGCTGACAGCTTGATGTTTATCGCGTGATGTGTCTTCTCCTGCTGAAAAAGTGCAGGCAGCCTTCGACCAGTGGCGAGGTCGCTGCATCCCATATGAGTTTTCGTCCAGTCTCGCTGGGGACGATATGAACGCTCCCAGCCCCGGTGAGTGTTCCGTTCAACTTGAAGCTGGCCGCATAAAATAGCATGACTAACGGGGTCTCCTCGTTACTGGTAGCTATGTTCAAGTCGGCTATGTCCCGGAAAGTCTGTCGTGACCATCGACGCAACCATGAGTCGCCAATCCAACTATCCAAACCGAACCTCGAGATTGAATGTCTGTGATCAGTTCCGACACTGCTTATATATGCTTTGAAAGTGTCAAAGACGGCACCGGGATGTCGTTGCCTCACACGAACTTGGTGGAACGACTTGTTAGCTTGTAAAGGTAGTCTGAACTTTTGAATTCCACTTTCGTCCCATAGCCCGTGAATCCGTTCAACAAAAGGATGCAAGGCATCTGACGGCATTGTTGCAAATCGTACGGCGAATTCCGGTTCCTGCTTTGAGAAAGACGCGGAAAAATAAAAAGCCGGCGTTCAGGGCGAGAACGAACTCGGCGGAAAATTCTAGATCAACTTCCATCAAGATGAAAGATTAATGCCATAAACCTTTTTCTGCCTTTGAGCTCCAACGTCCAGCTGTACGAAGTTTTTGAAGGTTGTGCTGGAAGCCTTCATTCCCAATCGTTATGATGACTCGACTTCACTGGGAAGAAACTCAAGAGCATCTTCCAGCTTGTTGAGGGCATGGGCTTCATGGAAGTGCTGAAGTCTCTGCAAGATCCAAAATTCCTCATCTAGGTCCTTCAGCAGCGGCGCTCGCCGCCCTTCGAGGGTCGCAGCCTTAGCATCAGCCACTACATGGGTGATCAAGACTTGTCGACTGAACAATTTTTTCTAAACTTCGTTTGAAACGTCAAGATACTTCTGGATTGCCGTAGTCCCATATGGCACTTGTCAACGGACTGAGTCGCTGTCTATTTGTGTTGCTGATATCGTCGATTACGACAATGCGTGCCGTCAGCTGCCGCACAAGTCGGCCCTTCGTTATATAAAAGATGAGAGGAATCGTTGATGGTGTTAAATGTCCAATTGCTGTCAGTTTCTGCAACATAAGTTGTAAGGAAGAATCCACAGTAACGGCAGGTCCACCCACATTATAAGAACTGAGAATTTCGGGCAGCGAGCTCTTGAGAGACTCACGACGAAGTGTCTTTCTTGCCAGTTCCTCCGAGAAACGGGACCGGAAAGAAGGCTGGGAAAATCTTGAGCTTTTCCTCATTGTAGTGATGGCTTTACTATGAATATTGGCCATTTTGAGTTTGAAGTAGACATCTGGGTCTTGTAGTTCGTACGCAGGGAGGAGAAAGAGAAAGAGATGGATGGTGAAAAGAGCAGAGTGGGGAAACAACTCTGGGCCCTTCATGAGGTCGTCCAACCCTGATTGATATCTTTAAGGTACCTAGGAAGGAGGCAGATTGTGGTTTTCCCTAAGCCTGTTTCATTGGCCAGAACAATATAGGAATTAAGGAATTCATATAGCCGGATATTTCTGGGGGAGGTGATGGTCTGCAGCTCCTGGTCTTCTGAGCTTCTGCTGTCAAACTTTGACCAGGCCGTAAGGCTCTCTGAAGCTTGGTCTGTTGGTGCTGATGGTCTACTCATGAGCTCTTCTTACTCTTGGACTCGTAAAGCCGGAATACTGCACTGGTGTACTGAACGACCGGCTGAATATATATAGTTGAACGGCATTGGATATGATGTCTGGCTTTAAAGTCTCATCCAAGATTTGAAAACATATAAAGCTATAATTTCTTGGGTTGTATAATGTGCAGTAGTAGGAAACAAGGGAGCTACATAGAGACGAAATGCCAGGCTTAGTCCCCTCACAGGTTTCGTCGTGTATCAGCTCGATACACTTCCTCCAAGCAGTTATGGCAAATTAAGTGACAACAACACAAGTTTTCTACGCATTTCCTATCCAAACGGATAGAAACGAGGGATCCTTTGCCTTTCAGTTTGTGACAGATTGTATGGCGACTGACGAGCTACAATCAGGGGCCAAACAGACAACTACATCTTCTTTTCAGTAGAATTAACATATCAAACATTATTACAATATACAGGGAGGATACGAGAGTCGCGTATTAATCGTGCTTGTTAGATTTAAGTCATTTTTATAGATAGAGAGCACACTAAGCGTACGCCATCAACCTTTCTCCCTTTGTTCTGTGCTCCACATCAAGTTTTCAACATGTGCCCTTTGCTTTGTCGGGCCTGAATAGATTGGAAGTTTGCACTCTAATCAAATACTTTCAACATCTTTCTAAACAAACGGCTGTAGGAAACATTTTCTTCATGGACTGTCTCCCCGCTCGTTGGTTCCCTTCCGAGCTGTCACTATCAAGGTTCATCGGTATCCCTAATACTGCTTTAGTTAGCGACAGCGGTTGATACGGATTATAAAGGAGTGAGTCCAGTTGCGCCCACGGAGTTCACAATTCACAAGGTACAGCACGGCCCCTAGCGTTGGGCCACAGCTTGGAAAAGCCGCCTCACGGTGGGCCTCTCCTCAGATTTCCTTTCACAGCTCACCACCAACATACACCCTAAATTGCACAACGGCACGCGCGGACGAACCAAATACGACCGTGACAAAAAGAGACAAGGATGGATGAATATCATCCGCCGTCAGGAAAAATTCCACAGGGCGTGGGGTTACCTGTGACTCCTAAGAATCAGCACGCTGAAACGGAGATCGGAGAAGGGAGCCAGCGTCTTCCCGTCCATCTTGTAAATGACAACATTCCAACACCTGATCAAGCATCTCCCATACGTAGAGGGAGAGGGAGGCCACGGGGATCCAAGAACAAGAAGACAATCGCTGCACAAAATGCCTCCCGTCTATCCCAGACACGATTTCCATCGCCAGCGCAAGCACTGGGTGATGGAAACGACAGCCATCAGAGTTGGATGGATGAGGAGTACATTCCCAACAATCATGGAGACTCTCCATACCAAGCTGTTGATACATCACAACTCGACAGTGGGGAGGCTTTGGTTTCGTCCGACAAATATGAGAATCAAGCCGTCGCGGAGTTCATCAAGAGTTACCGCAACTCAGTCCATTTGACGAAGGAGAAAAACAGACGATCTGTTCCCATCACCAAGGAAGCAATGAAAGAACGAGACCAATCCGAACTCGCAAAGCTTATCGAGAGGCGTACCTGGACCCAGGCTCAAGAAGATGAGCTGGGCGCTTCTTGGGAGAGCCGTTTAATCAAGGATGCAATACAACTCTTGCCCTGTCGCGGCACTTATTTTTCAGCGGTCTTCAAGATCTCTTTCCATCTCTTCAACATGGATCCTCTATCCCTGTTATCCATGTATCACGACTTCAAGTTCGACAATAGCGGTAGGGAGGGCTTTATGCACAATGGACAAATGAAGCGCAACCCCTTATTGACGGTCCACTTCTGCGACAAACTCAAGAGAATCATAACACACCCTTAGTTTTAGGAGACAAACGCATACCGATTTCTCCCCATCGTCATCAGATGGTCTGTCATCTGCCAGGCAGATAACGGTGAAGGATTCTCTGTGGATGAGGCACGCATCTTGAGCCACCTCGGCTGTGGCAATCTGGACCAGTTCTCGAGTTCTCCAGTACTCGAGCGCTTTCGCTTCCATCAAGAACGAATGAAAACTGTTGGCATCTTTATGACACCTCATGCCAAGCTTCTCGCGTTGATAGCTGATCAGGTTGGTGTCCCAGCTGTACCGTCAGCTGGCAACATGCTGGTCAGAACTGGGGATCTGGGCGTTGTGATTAGCGCTCTGGACAGCCTGAATGATTGTAGGATGAATCTCTCCTGCGACATTCATTATCTGCAGTATTGCGCCAGTCGGACCTCGCGGGGTCACCCCTCAGGGCTGGAGGAGCTATTGGAGGCATACAAAGGGGCTTGGCTGAAGCTGGAGAGGAGGAAGCTATGCGAGGCTGTAAGAAACCAGCCTCCCAGCCGAGCGAATGGATTATATCTCCAGGCTGGGGGACAAGGAGTCCCGGTCAGTAACAACTGTCTGCCCAACAATGCAGTTTTGGGTGGATTTCCAGAGAATTCACAGCCAGTTAGACATCCTGAACCAGAGAACAATCCTTTCCGTCGGGTATATGTTCCCAACGCTAATGAGTTAACCGGCACTGGACTGATCACAGAGATCGGCTTAACCCATACCAGACGTGTCTCACGAACCAGCGCAACGGAGCCTAGTCGAACGTCCCAGGCCCTTTCACCACGCAGCCTGACCCAACTCCGGCACAAAAGCCTGGAATCGATGCCTTTGAAGACAGAGAGGTCATATCAATTGAGTCGTCTGACGAAGAGATGATGGAAGATCGACCGGGGGAGGCCTCCAACGTCCCTCGGGATGCAGGTAGTCGCCGGCGAAAGCGCAAGGGACAGAAATACAGAGCCCGAGACCGGGAACGGAAGCGAAAGTTCTTGGCTAAGAAGGAGAGAGAACGTCGTCGTGGACATCGCGGCCAGCCTCCTTCATCTGCACCACAAAGACAGGCTGGAAGTCGAGGAGGAGCTTGGAGTGGTATGGGGAATCAACGACAGCCTAATCCGGGGTTCAATCCTCCAACCAGACCAAGGGCATGGAGAGAACAAAACGAGGGGCGTTACCTATTTTGATGCGAGTTATTGGAGATTTTTTGGCGGACTGAACATGAGAGAAGATTACTGCTGTAGCTGGTAGAAAAGTGGCTATAGGAGATACCGGTAGCTTTCAGAGTTCGAAGTTGAATAATGTACGGGTTAATGTATTTTGGTCACTTTCCATCATGATTAAGGAAGCTATCTCTCTGAATGTCACAAGTCTTGGTCTCCGTAACGCGAGCACTCTGCGCATTGAGGGTTAGAAGGCAGAGCAATGTTCATACTCGCATGTGTTGAGCTCAAGAATATCCCGAGGTATTGGCATTCACTCAACGTGAAAACTACGATGACATGGAACAACACAGCCCGGTATGGCAACAACGACCGAAAGAAATTGTTTACCATTGACAGCAACAAGTCCTCCAGTCCGTTATACTTCGCTATCTCGTGATTGTTGACTTCTTCCATCAATATTCCTGCCATTTTCCCACGTAGACTCTTTTATATACTCGTTCGCGGCCTTTGCCTTTTCCAACCCAACCTCAATGATGTAGAGACATAATGCCAAGACATGATGCTGACATAAGGACGTACAAGGACGTACTGTCTAGCGTCGGGCTATGAAGCGTTAGTACACGATCGACTCAATGGCACAATGCAAACTCATGGTGAAAGATCTGAAAACTTTGACCATTAAGGTTCATGGAGAAGCTCTTACCAAGACCAGAGCGACCAGCGAAAGAGTTCCAGCTGATATTGTCAACCTGGCTAGGATCACCCTTGGTGCCAATGCTGAACATGATGCCTCCGACAGGAGCAGAAGGGTTCATCGCCTTGACGTGGCGATAGGCCTTGAGGAGCGCTTCCTCATCGTCGACGTTGAAGGAGATCGTCTTGGCAACGGAATGCACTTTGCTGTAGACATTGCACTGGGTGCCGCCTCCCTTGCTGTTGCTGATGACACGGAGGTCGGGGGTCTGCTTGCCCCGACGGCTGTCGCGAGTGACAGCCTGGAGGACCATGCTGTCCACTCGCTTGAGAGGCTGTTTTGGTTTTTCAGGCAGCTGGGCCTGGGCCTGGGCGGGCAGGAACTCTTGGGCTCCCGGGTTCTCAGCTGCGACCGAGGTCGGAGGACCCTCACGAAAGCCGTCTTGAGAGCGGTGCTCAGCAGCCTCAGTACTGTAAGGAGGAGGGGGAAGGGGAGGAGGAAGGGGAGGCAGGCTTTGAACGCGTTGGTCGTTCGTCATCTCACGGAGAGGGGCGGGCACATCATATGGGTGCTCGGGAGAGCCCAGAGATGGCGGGCCCCAGGCTCGCTGCTGCATGCCGTAGGGCGGGTCGTCGAAGCGAGTGGCAGGATTGGGGTAATAAGGGCTATGACTAGCAAAGCCTGGAGAGACCCAAGTTCCGTAGGGGTTGGATCGGAAGCTGCCCTGACGTGGAGGAGCCGACTTAGGCATCGTGATATGAAATGCAGCGGTGTTGTGCAGACGAGGATTGAGGTGAAGAAGGAAGAAGGAAGGGCGGGTTTTGTGGGGGATATGAAGGTGAAAGGTGAAAGGTGACGAAATTTGGTTGTTGCGGGCGGCAAACGGCAAACGGCAAACGGAAGGCGCCAACTTCTTCTGCACCTGCCCGCTACCTAAGTGCCTGCCTAGCTTGCCTTTAACTGTGCAAACTTCGCTGTCACTCATCAAAACTTTGACAAATCTCATCATAAATACAACAAAGCTCATCATGAGTATGAAACTTATCATGAAAACATCCTAAACCCCCCAAAATTCCCAGCCGCCTATTCTCAACTTACTCTCAACTTAGTACTTAGTGCCTACCTCCAAGTTTATCAATGTTCACGCCTAAACTGTACCTGGTCTGACGACGCCCCCGCTGAGTCCGTCACATCATCCATGCCAGATATCAAGGACGAAGCGGTCCATCATCTCGACTATGCCCCTCCAGTCTTCACTGCAACGGTCAAATCATTCTCGGAGCCTTGGCCAGGCGATAACCCTACGAGCTCTCAAAGAACAGAGTATGTCAACGCCTATCTCGCATGGGCACGGGACGAGGTCCCATCCTTGCAAGCGGCAGTTCAACACCAAGCAAGAGCGAGAATTTTTGGAGCTCTCCCGATGATTAAAGCAAACGACTGGACAGAGGCGGAGACTGAACATTTGCTTTACCTCATCGACGGAGAATATTGGCGTCTCTGGCGTAGGTCTCACTATCACTTCTCAAGCAGGCTTACCCCTTACTGATCAATTCCCTTGTACAGTTGAAGACGTTGAACCCAAGCCTATTTGGCCTTGAAAACACCCCAAGCCCGTGTTCTTTCCCTGCAGTGAAAGCTCCCGATGCCTCATCCATCGTCCTTTCCGAAACCCCCTGAAAGCTCCGGATAACACACCATCCGGGCCGCCATCTTGCAACAATGGAAATATTGAGAATAGCGGTACTCGCGATGCAGGCTCAGAGGTCCCTTCAATGGGCCATACATTTTCTCGAACACTTCATTGGGTTGCCAGTTTTGGCCTAGGCTTGAGATGAAGCGGTTATATTTTTCGATGAGATATATGCAAGCGTGATCGACTTTGAATAATAATTCATGCCGTCATGAATGGAGATTATATTTTCGTGTTGAGGTATAGCTTGCGCTCAATTTGGACATCTTGCGGCACCTGAGTTCCATAGCTATTTTTGGCCATGTTGGACACAGGAAGTTACAGCAAACTTGGTCGTTCTCCCAAATACCCGCATATAATGTAGTTCTGTCTATATATTAATCTTACTCAGAATTCAATTTCCATGTGGCATTTTGTGGTGACTTTGATCAACAGCACCATCAAGTTCAACGAGTGAGGTCAATTAACTTCCGGCTTGGTGGGGTTCCGGTCCGGATTCTCGGTGAAGTAGGTCCACAATTCCGGGACTCAGTCGCCTACCCTGTGGTAGTACGATGAATCAGTATTCCATGGCAAGACAGTTCACAGTGGCGCTCTGGACGAGGTAAAATGACCAATAGAAGATGGGCTTGTTGTTTACTTTTCGCACAATTTAGAGCTGGCCATCATCTAAAAGATCCAATCCTCCACCAGGATCCATTGAACATTGAAAGGGGAGCCACTGACAATCCAGTTCACATCAAAGACATTAACGAGGCAACATCCCGAGAGGGGCCCAAGAAACTGGCTATAGTGTTGGCTGAGGCCCACAATCATCTCTATGAAGACATGTATCTGTCTGCTCTCACGATTGACAGTCTCAGAAATCTGAGTAACGTTTCAGCGCTGCATCGTGAGCGGCTCATAGGCGAAGATGAGCTTACTCTGTCTATTTACAATCGTGTGGTTCATATCAAATACATTGATTGGGTATTATTCGTTGCAAGAACGGGATCTTGGAGGATTGAATTGATCCAGGCACATGACTGGAGCGCGTGACGGTTCTGATGCTGAAAAAGAACTCGAAGCGTCAATAAATAAAGTAGCTACAGCAAGAGATTATCAAGACTTTTGTTGCAAAATGCTAAGAATAATGGAGGATCACTGGCATCGGAAGTCGTTGTTCGAGACAAGCCTATTTTCATTGCAGATCAATTCAGTAAACTCGCGATACGAAAGCAATACCATAGTCTTCCTCGCTCATCCAGCCCATATGCAGTTCCCACGTGATGGAAAGCCTAGCTAAACTGATTCCGTGTCTTGATCCTGTACAGTATCCCATTGCCCCTAGTTCGCGAAGTCCATGTTGCATCACCAAATCTGAAAGCAAATGACGACTGACATACTCATGCTACCCCCAATTTGATAAGAGCCCACTGACACTTCAAGCAGAAGTGCCAACGGCAGGATTGTAGATCTGAAGCTTTCTATGAGAACCAACAATGACCGCCTTGACCAGGAAGTTGCATTTGTCACTTCCGAACTGGCATCCAGCATCGGCTAAGCGCTGCTCAACCGAGGCATCAGGCCCCTTCTCGCAAACTTCGTGAAAGCAGTGGTAACGACCGATCTTCCCGCGATGGATAAAACTATACACGTTCTTCCCCTCCTTAGTCTTCTTCCGAAGAGCCCGTTGAAGCTGAAAAATCACGCCGACCGTGAGGTGCTCGCCAGGAACAAGTCGCTCGCGCATGACTTTTTCAACTGAGTATGATACAAATTCGCGTGCTGATGGAGTAGAACATGGAGTATTGCCAGAAGTGGAGGCAAGAGAGGGAGAGGTGGCCGCTGTATTGTCATCGGAAGGTGCGCTTTGGCTTGCAGACTTCACTTTCTCTATCTTTGTTTCTTTAGAGGACCTTCTCTTCTTCTTGCTCTGGAGTTGAAGTTGACTGAGCTCTGTGACTACCCTCTTCTTCTGGGTCTTCAGTTTCTCGATGGTGTTGGTTTGCTCGGCGATTTGTTCCTTGAGAGCGCGTACCGTGGGGCCTGCAAATGTAGCGGTGTCGATCCTGTCTTGGATTTCATTGATGATGGTATCGGTGGCAAATGATAGTTTCGCGCGCATATTTGCGACTTCCTCCTCTAGGCCGTCGTTGCTGTCTTGGAGTTCATGGATGCGCTCGGCCGATTCCTTTTTCTCGTCAAGAAGGCGGAGAATGCTTTGCTGCGCACCATGGACATCTTGTCGAAGGTTTCCATTCTCGATTGATAAGATTTCAGGTTGACGGGAATCTTGCTCCGTGGGATACATAATCTCATGTGGGGAGAGTCCCCGATCGTTGGTGTAAGAACGCGTGGGAGTCTCATCACTCGGCCGGGGAGTATCTTCGCGCAAGCCCCAATCTGTGGAAATCGATGAGCAACCAAGATAAGTCCCAGCACGTACAGGATCACTTACTAGGCGTTACGTTGTCATCAGCGTCGTAGCTGGAGTATTGTGCTCCATTGTCACCTCGGTCGCGATCTTCTCTGTTGTGGGAGTACCAAGACATCTTGAGTGTTGCAAAAGTACTGATCTCCGATTTTGTAGTTATGGGGAAAGGAAAGAATTGTTGAAAGGCAGATGCGAAATGGCATATGAGTGCCAACACAATGGTGGCAGTTGCAAGTCGCAGGTGAATGCCTGTTGAAGGTGGAACTTTATGACGAGGATGGAAGCTTTGGTTTAGGTAGTAGCTTGCGATGGGCAAGTTTGAAGAAACAACTCTGGGGAAAGCGACCTCACGGATGATTGCAGGTAAACGGTAAATTGAGAAGAGGGGAAAAAACAGAGAATCCTGTTTGGTTAGGGAAAGACTGGATGGCGACCTCACAAGGCTGTAGCTGCCAGTAGCCGTGAATGAGGTGGTCTGCAAACGACCTTCCGATGAATCCGCCAAAGGTACCTAACAGCCAATCTTTGGCCCTCAGCACAGTGAAACTTTGCCTTTAGTTCCATCCATCTTATATCACATCAATGGAAACAGCTCTTTCGTGAACTCGTCCACTTGAACCCCCTTTATCATCAGACGGATCATTTATACAACACTATATAACAGAGCCACTCAACCGGACCTTAGGAAGCCTCTCCAAGACCACAAAAAGCCCGACGCCCCTAAATACGAATTCAACAATGTCTCGTAGCCGCAAAAACCAAAGATCACAAAGGCGCCGCCAACGCGAGAGGAGAGACAAGCGTAATAGTATGAGACAAGCTGGCTTGACCTTCTACTAATTCAACACAGATGCCGACTATTAGATGAAGGTGGCTTTGGAAGAAGCGTATCTTAGGTTGAGGTATGTTGGTAATTTAAACCTTTTTGAACAAGCAGCTAACTAAAGCCAAAGGAATATATTTTCCTGGGATCAAGACGATGACAATTTGTCCGATGAAGACGACAGCAGTTCTATCGACACAGATAGGGGTACCACAACACTAAAGCCACCACCTTCAGAGAGTGACGACCCCCAACTTACTGACCACTCGTCGGAGCAGGTACCATTATAGAATAACCCTCCCACACAGAGCGACGCTCTGAACTGGTGGATTGGGGAAACAGTTCGCCTGGGTCGAGCAACCGACGAGTTCTGGGACGATCTCAAGAACCCAGCCTCAGCCATCGAGAAAACAAGGACGGCTCAAGATTTAGAAGCCTGGGGTGCCGAACAAAGGCTTGTACATAAATCTTGGGAACACTTCTTCTGGTATTTTGTAGAGGAAGCAAAGAGGGTTAAGCTCCACGACTGGGCCTATGCAAATGGCTTTTATCGGGCATAAAGGAAGACAGAACTTCAGAAGGGGCTCGAGAGGCTTCAAATTATCCATACAGCGATTTATTACAGAGCGAGTAGCTATTCGGCTACGGATAAAACAAAAGTCCAAGATGCAAAGAGTGGTTTGGTAAATCTGAGCCTTGCTTGTGCCCTTGTTGTGACCAGGCTGAACCCCCTCAAGGATGAATAGAAGCCTTGGGGAGACCCAGGACCAAGGAGACTCTCTGGGAATTAACCACCATTGGCATGTTCTAATAGTGTCACAATAGCCTCTTGGTTTCCTTCAACAAAATTCCTACCGCTGAAGCTTTATGAGCGAGTTCATTGTATCCAAGCTCTTGTACGAGGTTGATGGCCGAGACAGAACCTCATGGTGCAGAAGACCAGCAACACTAGTGGCTGAAATGATCAAATCTTCTCGAGAACAAGATCATCACAGCGCGGCTTCAAGGTGTGATGTTTTTCAAGGTGAACCTGTGTTAAATGCTACGTATTGTGGCGAAGTTTGAAGACTCTCCTCTCATCAGAGTTCGGTCGAAACGCTCCCCTTGAGCCAAGCCCTTCTCGACAATGATAAACAAAGCTTTACTTCAGAGGTTTCGTTGTTTTGAACACCCTCAGGGAATACTTTGAGTTCATCCATGACCTATTACAAGCTACTCAGCATTCCCTCTAGTCTGATGTTCAACACATCATGTATAATCATTTCTTTGAGACATCGGTATTCATCTACAACCATACGCGAGGTCAGGGACAGGCTTCAATGATGTCACTACTCTGGTGGAGTCGGAAGGGATTCTATTTGATTGAATACTGGTTTAACTAATCTGTCGCAACACCTCGAGCGACCTTCCTATGTCCATTACCACAACAACCTCGATACCTGAATTGATGCTCTTTCACTAAGCGCACAAGCTTGAAGTATGGTCGATGATACTTCACTCAGCGGAGGTTTTGGGCCCAGGGAATATGAGAAACGTAGCTGACCAGGATACAAACCGCCAACCTTTGAAATCATAAACTCGCAACCGGATTTATGACGCGGGCAAAAAGAACACGAGGCCAAAGCTACAGCACGCGAGCCATATTCGCAGACCTCTCGAAGGCAATGCCACATATAACTCTGACGACTGTTTGTGAAATCCGTCATATTTGCCTCGATTTCACTGTCAGGCAGCGATAGTCGCAGTTCTCGCGCACGGCATAGGTCTTCAGCGAGGTTTTTGACCGGCACCCGAAAGCCAACATAGAGATTCTTTTCGCATTCGAGGTAGGGTTTGAGCCCCGTGAGAAGTTGGATGATGACGCTTACTTCCTCACTTTTGTCGGTGTCTGAATCTGTGCGGCGTCGCTTTCGACTAAACTCCTCTTGTTTGTTGAGCATGTAGTCGCGAAGTTCTTCGGCTTGTCGACGAATCTCGTTGTTCTGTCGTTTTAGTTCCTGGAGACCCCCTTGTAGTTTCTTCACGTCCTCTAGTCTCACTGATATGCTGGCGCCTGGACTCGCTTCCTTGCCGTCATTGCCAGCCTGTGAGGTCTGACGTCGGAGTACAGCCATCTCTTCGCGGAGCTGGTTATTCTCTTTCTTGAGCTCCGCGTTCTGGGCCACAATGAACTCTTGCGTCGCTTTCTGCGCGGCTTTCAGTCCGGTGATAGTGTGTTCGGCCTCATGCAAACGTCGGCGAAGTGACTCCTATATCAAAGATCAATTAGCAACCGCCCATAACCCTATCAAAGTCTGTAGCTGGGATCATGAACTGACATTGATATCATCTTCGGTGTTCTCTCTGGGGCCCTCGCTGGCAGTAGCTGGCTGCGATGTCATGCTTTATTCTCAACTGGCGGTGTTGGAAGGGGACGTTCCTCGATGTCGATGAAAGCTGAGATGTGAAGATGAAGGCAAGAAGGAAGACGGAAGGAGGGGGAGGCGAAAGAAAAAAAGAGAAGATGAAAATTTAGCGGCGGCGTTCGAGCGCTGTTTGTGATTCAGCGCTTGAGAGGGGGGTTGATGGAAGTGGCAGTGACTGACAGTTCTCAAAAATCACAGATGTCAAACACCACTCAAGTTGGCAAACACTCAAAATCGGCCATGCATTTACTCGGGCCTCAAACCCTTCATATTCTCACTCTCCCCTCAACTTTATTCATCTTGTTCATTCGCCTATGTCCAAGCCCTGGGTCTGATCCATCTGATCACATACACAATGCCTGGTCGCGAGAACGTCAAGCAAGGTGGAAATAGCAACAGTTCTGTGCCGGTACGTTTTGTTTGAAGGGGACTTACCAAGCTTGCAACTGATGGATCAATAGGCGAATTTCGACGAGACCTCCTTTTCCGAACAGTCCAGGCGTGACCTTCGCGAGTTGTTCACCATGATTGCACGTCTACAAACCGAAAACACTGCCCTTCGCGTCACAGCTCATCTTGAATCAATCACCGAGAGACTCACAGAACAAGTCGAAAGGCTCGAGACGCCTCATCCTTCAGAAGAACAAGGCAACCCCCTTTCTCGCCGACTGCAGCGCCTAGCAGATCTCGCCATCGACTTACCCCTTGATATCAAAGACGATGATCTAAGTGTAAACGACCTTGCCCTCTTATGCGCTGTTCTCGAGGATGACATGCGACGAGCTGCACTGATCAACTTTGCTGGGGATTCTGTCACCTTCCCCATGTTGTCCTTTTGTCTTCGATCACTGGGTGAAGGAAATGTGGTTGGGTTTCTTGTGCACGAAGGCGGACGAGTGCCTCGTTGCTCTCTACATGGAGATGGAAATTGTACTTGGATGACGAGGGACAATGGTTTGATCAAAATACGACGTGAGCCGTGAGTTGTTAGGTGTCTTAGGCAAAAGGGGCCAGGGATGTAAGGAAAGATGGATTTGAGTTTGACAATAGACTGTTAATGGGCACATTGAGAGCATCATTTCTACTTCAGGTTCAAGACGAATGTGGTTTGACGATTGGAAGTAAGTTATTCAGCAGGAGCATTTGTTAGACATGGACAAGAATATGCATGTGTAATACCCGTCTGTGTACTTATTTCACATCAGAGCTAAGCTCAGCGCTTACCAAAAACCGGGGGTCTATTATGAACTTGAACTTTACCTAATGCCCCTTAGAAGTGAGCTGCGTCAAAGTTTGGCCACCCACAGAGAGAGCTAGCATGCGGAATTATGTTACCAGTCTTCTCTGTTTAATCCTCTGTTCAGTCAGTTAACCACAGCTTGTCTCTTCTCTTAACATCTCTTCATCGACACCAAGCACTATTGTTTTCACGCAACGTCGGCAGAAGCATCCAGAAATGACAAAGCGAAAGTCTGCCACAGGTGCTGTCGAGTCGCACCAAGGCCACCACCATGGCAAAAGAGGTGGGCGTGGTGGAAGCGCTGGACGTGGCGGCCAGTATAATGGTCGTGGTGGTCATCATGGCGATGGACATTGGCAAGGTCCTCCATATCCGGGTCAAGCCCCTGGTTACGCCCGTACCCATCCTATGACTGCTCACTATGGGCCTCCAGATCCCCCGGCTTATTGCGCAGGCTACCCATATGGACAATATCCTTTGTATCAACCTTTCCCTACCGGACCAGCCTTTCCCCCGTACCAATTTGCTCCTCAAGTGCCATGGCAACCTGGAAACGAGCCCCCAAACCTCTTTTTGGTACCCCTTGATGTGGAAGTGGGTGAAGGCCAATCCTTCTGCCGACACAAGCCATATTTTCCCCTGGACTAAGGAGTATGCCATCCAGGCTTTGAGCGGCGAGAGCGCAGAGCAGATTCAGGCAGAGCTCCTCGATGTCAGGACCTTTCCTAACGCAAAGCGTTCCTTGTGGCATACCGACCCCGCAACAGAAACTTGGGGAAAGGTGCAAGAGACATATGGTAGCGATCCCAAGAACTTTTATGAGCAGAGGGCTAAGGCACGAGAGCCATCTCGACGAGCCCTCGACCATTGAGCATTTTAAACAAGCGACAATGTGACGAATGTCTTCCCAGTAACCCATCATCTGCAAGAAGTTCCTTGGAAGTGTACAGGTAAGTCTACTTGCTCATACAGAAAGCATTGCTGACAATTCGGTAGGAGATCACTAACGAACAAAGATGAATGTCCAGACGATTCATCAACCATTTGGAACGGACAACCAGCGTTAACCTCGCACTGTTTCCGACGGGCGACAACCATCGAACAAGGGTTCCCAAAGAAGCCTGCGAACATACAAGAACATTTCGGCGATTATGAAGGAAACATTGTCTACGCAAGGTTCCGACAGTTACTTTTGGTGGTAAAGAAAACCGTAAAAACGTGTAAACAAACATACATACAAGACCGGAAGCTTGTGGTGTATCGCATGTATCAGGTTTTATCATCATGCTGCGCGTTTAGGTATCCAAAAGTTCCGTTTTAAATATGATGTTTATTAGTTGAAATGGTTTTACATCATCTTCGAGTCAATGTGGAAGAAATATGAATCTTTTCCAAGTATTCTACCGCATGTTGACTAGACAGATTATTTAATATCGATCCAGTTCCCACGAATGTCCGTTATTTTGAACCATTGTGACCCCTTAGAGAGACACAGTGAGCTTTATGATACAGATGCACTCGCCATGATTTAGGGTCAACAGCCAGACAGCATTGTAAGCTTGATTACTTTAACATCAGTTTATTGAGCTCTCCAGAGCACCGCTCATTGTTTCCAAATGGTGAAATCTGAGGTCTGCCAGTGCTGGCACTGGCAGATCAAGGACGCTGATTCAGACAGTCATTTTGTACGATTGCCTGAGGAAGCAAAAGAACCTCAGAAGGAGTGAAGCTAACAGAAGGAAGAAGTTGAGAGCCTTGGGAATCCTTTCTCTCATCATCATCATCACCATCACCACAAATGTGGCTACACCGCAGGCGATGACAGATGACGAGATCACTAAACAACACCTCACCCTCTCTTCAAAATACTTCCCCAGGAGGTTTGAGCAGGAGTTTCCTGGGCTTAAGTCGTCTCCATCGCAAAGGCGGTCAATACAAGTTCGCCTTTGCAAGTGGTATAACTGGCAAGAAAACTTCGAAGCAACGAAGGGCGGCGTCTACAAGCTTGCGAAGGACACAGCTGCTGAAGGTCTGATCGAACAGCTTGGCGAGACGGAAATTAAAACCTCTTTTTTCGAATGGAGCGTCGACGCAACCTTCTGGGCTTTGTGGTTCATCGGACTTCCTCAGAATAAGCGACCCCTCTGGCCATGGGCCAAGTCTCCCAGGCTCGAAGCGGGAGAAGGATCCTCGAAAGACTTCGCGCAACTCAAAGCAGAGTATGATCGCAAGGGGTCCCTGATTGACAATGAGGTTTTACAGAAGTAAAGGAGTCTCTGGCTGTCAAAGAGGCTATGTCATCCCAGCTCTTGACTGCGCCAACTCCTCACTCTTCACCACGCCTCGCCACCATGGACAAGGAGGATCTTCGTAAGACGCTGAGCGCTACTCAGACCAAATTCGAACTCCGCTACCGTTTACGCACACACCCTTCGCTCACCCTCGACATCCCTCCGTTTCAGACGAGCGGCGTTGACTGCTTAATTAATCTCATCCGACACACCAACGCCATCTTGGACAAGCGCAGCTCGACGCAAAGAGAAGAGCAGAACCCCCTGTTGGCTTATGCCTGGCAGGCATTCTTCCCACATGAAGTTGATGAAGAGTCGACAAACCATCGCATTGCCGCCAAGAAAGCTGTGCTCGAGCACCTCAAGGATCGCATATCCGAAGCCCTCACATTCAAGGACTGCTGCAACAGCGGTCTCATAAATAAGACCCTATGGTCGTCAGATGAATGGTTGCTATACGAATGCAATCGTTCAGGTACTTCTCCAGTTGAAGCCAGACGACGGGGCGGTGTTGCCAGTCTCATCGAATATGATTGCCGTCTAAGTCCTCATCTGACACTTCAAGATGCGGTCGATCGCTATTGTACCTTGCAACAAAAGCAAATCCGTTTGATCCTCAGACAACCCAAGTTCGTTCGCATTCTTTACTGTTCGCACGCGGATTGCCCCAGACCTTTCAGCAATCTGTTGACCCTCAGCCTGCCTTTACCCGATGGAGTAACAACCATCGATGACCAAGTCACCATGGTCTTCTCTTTGATCTCTATTGTCCGAATGAGAGATAAGATTCAAGAGAGGGACTACATGCGACCCTATGATGATGGTGGAGTTCCACTCAGCCAGATTGAAACTACAACACAAACCCCGCCGACGCGTTCTGTATCTCAAGAGGGAGGCCATTCCTACCTGCTGGTTTTTGTTGAGGGTCCGGGGGGCGAGGACAAGTTCAACGAGTTTCTATCCATCCTACCTGACACCAGCCAAGTCAAGACTGAATGCTGATTATCGAAACAAGGCTTGAAGGAGAAGAACACGAAGGCCAATGGGCCTATCAGTGCTCGCGATTGGAATCAAGCGCTCAGCCTTGATCGGGGACATCCCAACACAGATACTAACTTAGGGAGAACCACTTATGATGGAAGTCCTGGTTAAGAAAGGGACTCTTGGGATAAAGAAGGGGCAAGTGGAAAGGCAGAAGAGGCCTGGTCATCTTAATGGTATGGTAATGACTCGTCTTCGGTATATTCGAGTAATGGAAAAGTAATATATATAATGTCGAGGTGAGGCTGACTAAACAGGCAAACGCTGAAATGATTCCATTCGAATGCTTACACATGTGGCGGTTGTGATGCTATCATCATCATTGTAATCTTAGCATGCTAACCTGTCAAAACGTGCCGAGTGCTATAGTAGACACCGCCTGAATATGAGAGTGTATGATGTCTATCCAGATCCGGGCCCGGTAGCCGGTGGTTCAATTACCTAGTTTGTCAGCACCGGGTGACGAGGTTATGACAACGAAATCTTTAGAGAGCTTTAAGCACCACATCCCCAATCTTGACGCTACAAAGGAAGTTCAACAGTTCCAGAGCTCAATACATGTCGGCTGCTTACTGGTTTCCGTGAAAGAATTGCTACCTACTATAGAAGGTTCCGTAGTGTAGATGGACTACTTTCCCTGGAACCTCGCATCTTAGAGGTTTTGTGCATCGCGAGGGGAATTGTTACAAATTTTGTCATCCCTACGGGGCCAGTTCTTACACGGACGCAAGAATGAACTGTTCATCATTGTGTTCTGGTTGAAACACCGTTGATTCCATGGACTACTTGGCACGAAACCTGGTGTTGATGAATGTTGAGGTACGCTGAAGAGAGAGGTTCCTTCCAAGGCCTTGAAGGTATTGATGCAATGTTCCACGCCGCCTCTCGAAGGTTGGATGAGTTACCTGCAGACAAATTGGACGCAGTGGAAACAGCTTCTCTGGGATGGCCTGAGTCTTGAGCAGCTTAACGCCTCAAACGAAGTTGTGCAGCAATGTGAAGAACATCTATCAAAGAGGAACACGCCACTCAAGATTGTTGATATGTTCAATGTAAATGGTATAGTTTCTGACTCACGTGGATTGTAATTGATTAATAAATCGATAGGTAGCAATCGGATCGAGTATGGTTGAAGGATGGTTTATGAATCCAACCCCCATCTCAGCAACGGGTCCTGGTGTCACCAACGCCAGGTCGATGGTTATACCCATTGCCACAGTTTTCGCCGTTCAACTCTCCATCTGATACCGGTCCATCATACGATTCGACTGCATACGCTCACGCTATTTCAGTTAAACACATACATAATGTTAAAATATCTATATCTAGTACTGCTATCAAGCTATCTCAGTAATATCTCTTTTACTTTTTTCAAGTTTTGATTTTAAATTTATTAAGTTTATTCTTTTATATAATTATTTTATTTAAAACCTCTATAGTATTTAAAATATTTAAAAAGGCATTAAAGCATCTCTTACTACAAACAATACTAAGGTCAAACACTCATACCTCTCCATCAGCAAAGAGATACTGTCCGCTGAACTTAATTGCTGCCTTGAAATCTAGACGGTTGCTCTGAAATGCCTCCGTGCCCCTGAACATGAGGGTCGTGGCAGCAGAAACTCAGTCAAGTAAACGCCACGGGGTCCTGTATCTGTTCGCCTTGTCACATTTTCATCTTCATCTTCACTCTGACACTCTGCTGTCAAATTTAGCTCTTGTGTTTTGGCAAGACATCCTCGGGCAAGAGGCTGCAAGAATATGCTAGTACGTGATCGATCTTAGGGTTCTCCAAGCGTTACCATCAGTGCATGGCAAAGGATCCCCCTTCTCTTCCACTCATCTAAAGCTCTACGGCTAAGGAAATGCCTTCCTGGTATGTTTTGAAACCTTTCTGCAATCCATGTACCACTTTGGCGGACCTGAATATCTCTGCTTAGCTACCGCCCCCTTCCGGTGATTGCATCGAGTTCCAAGATCCTTACTTTGCATCTTGATATGCGATTGATCGCTTTCTCGTGGATGGCTGCGAACAGCCCGTTTCTATGACACGAACACAAAGCATTCAATGATCTCCAGACGCAGTCAATCAACTTCGTCGAGACTTAATGAAGATCAAGATCACACTCGATTCGAAGTAACAGAAGTACCAGACAAGCTTTAGACAAGCTGTATGTGAAGCACCCTAAACTTAAAACATTTATCTTTTACATTCCCAATTCACCTCTGGAGCTGGAAACTGGAGAAATAGCTGGCAAGTTCAAACGTTCATGTTTAAATCCCTTTTGCTAAAGCTTCCCAGAGCTTGGCTCCACAACTCTCCCACCGTCGCCTTCGATACCCTTCGTCGCGACTATGATCTAACACGACTGGCAGGGCGATTGATATGTTCTGTCCATTAATTGAGGACTCCAAGGCTTCAAATTCACCACAACACTTGCTCCCCTCCTCAACAGCAGACCTACGACGCAGTGGGCTCAGGCTCAGGTACCAACATAAAGAAACCGGTGATTGACATACGAGAGGTACTCATACATCAAAGGCGTTTCCCAGGGCTCAAAGATATTAACGACATGACCAAAAGCAGATGGTCGAATGAAGAAGACATAACCTGTTAGTGACCCACCACGAACGATCTGTTCAAAGAGGGTAAAATGGTCACCAACTACGTTTTCACGATATCACCCTTCATAAGTATGTCTTCCTGTCGCCAGGTGGGGATATTATGTGCATGATAGGTTGATACGGGAGCTATGAGTCTTTCAGATGCGTCACTACTGCTGCTTTCCGCTCTCAAAGACATTTGCTTTGCATGTGCATAAAAGGCCAATAGTTACAATCTAAGTTATCGTCATAAAAGGAGACATGTCAATGATTTCATCACTGACGGTGAATGGAATCCGTCATGTATAAATATCAGTCTCATCTTCCCACAGATTCTTAACTACACTCACTTCCATCAACACAAACCACCTACCTACTAGCTACTCAGTTGAAGCAACGCATACTTGAGCAACCCACCCTACATCAAAATGCCTAAACGTCGCTTGTCTAGTGACTTTGGTGACGATCCAATCCAAAAGATTCGCAAGGTCGACAATCAGCAAATGAAGCACCATGCCAACTTTACAGAGACTGTTTCTAGTCTCCGACAATGCAGTGTCTCGCATTCGCCGAACGAAGTCGAACCAAGAATGCAGCCATCGATGTCTGAGGAGGTCGAGTGGTCCAGAATCGAGGATCTCACCAGGTATGACGAGCCTGTAGACTATTCACAAAGGGATGCAGACATCGAGCCAGAAGAATCGGATGATGAACCGGAAGACGATTGTGATTATGGGGATTCTGACGACGACGACTCTTCGGAAGCTCTAAAAGAAGCGCTCGCGGAAATCGAGGAGCTTGATAACTTAATCGAACGAAAGACGGTTTCTATCACTTATTGGAAGAATTGGACCAGGGATCTACGCAAGGACAATATGCGTCTTGAAAGGGAGGTCAAAGTCTTGAAGGCCAAGTTGGAAGCCATCAACAAGAAGCCTACTTAAACCAAAAGATCAGACTTTTGGCAGAATAGTCCGAGATGGTGACAGCCAGGAGAAAATATAAATGGGAAGTCAGTGGAAGTGAAGAACGACAAGGAGGGAAATAATCTGGACTTGGGATGAGGAGTTGTGAATTGTGTGAAGGATATCAGGGACTTTCAGCAGAGCAGGGAATTTTCTATTGTTCATGGTTTCGTATTTATGGATTGTATCTAGGATATTTCTTATGTAAGAATGCGACACTTCCATGTCATTGAGTACAGATTGCTTGAGGCCGACGTGGGAAGGAGTGATGAGAAGCCAACTGCCCCATCAACCATCAGCCATTCGCACCTCCCCCTTTTCGCGTCTCTCTGTTCATTTTGTCTCCATTATGGTCTTGACATTTTCACTCTCCATTCTCCATTCTCTATTCTTCAGACTTCACTTTTCATAATACATAAACATCGATACATCAACATCACACACTCATTCATCATCATGTCATCCAATCAAGATAATACAGAAGCTAGGGAGGACACCAACGTAAGTTTGGAAAAGACCTTCATGCGGACTCAGCAGCGAACTCATCATTTCCAGATGGACGCCCAGTACAGCCATTCATCATCATCTTCTTCTTCTTCTCAGGGAGAGTTCCTGCCGCTCAGAGGCGAGAGCCCTGTCGAACCTGAACGTCAGACGGCCGAAACGGATGTAAACCAACAATCACATGAGATAGACACTGGATCCCTCGTTGCGGGTTTTGAAGGGCTACAAGTGCAGAGCAACCCCACCCATAACCAGTTCCAAGCGTGTGAAGTCCGAATCATAATGTGTCCATTATGCACGCACTCATTGAGAGTGCCGAGACCGCTGAATCAGTGGTACCTTATACGCTTTCACCCAGAGTTCCATTTGTCTGCGGACTTGTTCGTCGACCTTGATAATCGGCTTGATGCAGACCATGTGGAGAGAACAACGCACTTTAATCACCCTGTGCTTCGAGCTCTGTATCATTTTACACAGAACCCATCCTATGATTCTGTCTCCTTCTACTGTTGTCGGGCGGCAGGATTAGAAGGCCGTTGCGAATCAGCTGCCCGCGGTTGGTAGGATGCTGCAGGGCGACTCCATTGCAATTGCCACCCAGGTCGTCGTTGCTTTTGGATCACCAGAAGGTTCAGCAACAAGCGGACTGAAGATTTTTATTCTGGAATCGATATGGCAATGGACGGCTAGGGCTTTCAGTCGTTGCGGTGCAGTGGCCGTCTGACTGTCGGTGTGTTGCGGTAACTGACCTTCACCGGGCAGCTGCAGAGCTATTGAGCGTCGTTGGAATGCATATTATGAAGCAGCTCTTCCTGTTGCAAATCTTGCTCTTTATACACAATGGCAGAGCACACAAACAGCGAAGGTGTACCAACATTCTTTCATGTACATACCCATACCCATACCGCATGTATTACGGAATAGAGCAAGCGAAATCAGACAAGCCATGATCAACTGTCCCATTCCTTCCAACTTGCTGAAACTCAGTACTCTAGGCGACATTATGACTCAACTTCTCTGAATCGAGATTCACAGATGTTGCATTCGGTCCGATGGCTTCAATATTGACATAACTTTCGATCTCGGCCAAAGATCAGCTCCTTGTCTTCACCATAGCCATTTGTTATAGGACCATGTACTAGATCTGGCAGCAATAATGTTCAACGTGACAATCAACCCACAGACTGAACATGATGACTACCAATGTCTTCCGAGTCAACCCACTCATTGTCACTTCTGTTCAAGCCTTACCCAGGAAATTCAGTAGATTTATTCCATGTTCAAAAGTTTTGGTCAGTTGAACAACAGTCTTCTTTTAAGGGTCTGAATTCGCCTTTGTTGGCTGAAGTCAGTACTGAACATGTAACTGCTCGCTGAAAGCATATTCGAACAAGGAATCACATTCTTGAACATAATTACCTGCTCAAATATTGCAGATATATGTATATAACCCTTCGTGAGCCCAGATTAGAGACGGTCTCATATCAACACAATCCACCAATCCTCAATCAATAGCATTACCCTCTTCACAAACAAGCACCGCTTCAGCATCACTACAAAGAACATTTCCAACTTCCAAAAACTTTCCAATATACAAAATATCTTCTTCAACATGGCTGTGCCTAGTATCACAGTCTCTTCCCCTAAAACCACATCCGAGTCTCCCACGACCCGGGCTGCCAAATCCCCTATTGAGTGGGACCATTACTATTCCAGTCCACGCTTCTCCGAGAACCGAGACATCGAAATGCACAGACCGGAAGATTATGAGAACGACGGTATCTACGACGCCGAGGATGATAATCTGGACGAAAACTTCGTATACGGGCGTCTTTCGCCTGTCCCTGCACCTCGACAGCGCACGAGAACACTTTCTGATATTAACGGCTACCTTCCCGGATACCGCTTTGTCGGTAACCGTGATGTTGAGATGGGTGAGGCCGATGTGGAGTATGAAAGTTCATTTCATGAGTTCACCTTTGAGCATCCGTTTCGCCATGTCGATGAGTTTGAGGGTTTTAGTGGCTGTTGGGGTGACAGAGAATATGAGGCAGATGTTTCGGAGGCCGGCTATGATGCTGAAGATGAAGAGTCAGGCGCTGATGTTTCCTCGGAGGACGATGATGGGTCTGAGGACGATGACACCTATCGGGACGTCCCCGAGTTTTCCGTTTGCGACAGTCCCGCCGGCTTTCAAGGTAACGATTCAGGGTACTACGCCAGTACGGATTATGAAGAGCCTGCCGATGACCTCTCTGGGTATGACCCCGAGGTTTCCTCCCTGGGTAATGCTGCTGGTCACTACAGTAGCGGCCGTGGGGACAATGACATGGCAGTCGAAGAGGCAGTCTACACGATTCCTCGAATCCTTTCTGACATGCAAGATACCAACTGGGGACCTCGAAAGCGTAGGTTTGATGAGTATGAGGAGGTTGAAATCGAAGAAGATGGGTTCGAAGAGGGTGAGTTTGAAGAGGGTGAGTTCGACGATGTTCAACTGGAGAAACCTAAGCGCGAGGTTGGCGATGACGATAGTACACCATCTGATGATGAGATGTGCATGGAACACATGTTGGACTGTGGAGTCTGTTCTGATCTCTACTTCAACTCCACTGACGCTCCCCAGGATGATGAATATGCCCTCGAGGACTATGCTCCTCAGGATAACGATGTTGAGTTCGAGGAGTTCCCTCGAATGCTACAGGCGATTCCTGAGCTGGATGAACCCAACAGCTCCCTGCCCTATGGCTATGCAGACCACGCGCCTGGAGATACTTATGTGGATGGAGGCTTTGGGGTCGAGGATGACTTCTATCCCGATGAAGCTGGCCCCGTTGTGGACGATGAAGGTTGCTAGGATGATAATCCCCCCTACTTCAACGACGCTCAGCTCGATTTGGCGGAGGTAAAGTACACTTTCATCTAAGATTGGGAGATTTGTGGTGTTGCTGATCATGACTCGATTGGTCTACTGCAGGACCAGCTTGTTCACGAAGAAATATCGACAGAAAAGCACAGAAAAAGTTAAGTCAAAGCACAGCAAAGTCTAGCATATTTCTTTTTTCAATGGTTATTGGGAGTTCTTATTTTTCTTTTGGCGACTGGGTATGCAGGTGGGAGGTGTTGAAACAGAAAATTCTCAAGATAAGTATCAAGGAATTAAATACAATGGACGCCTCATGTAAGTTAAAATAGAATTATTATATGATTTACTATTGTGAATGTGAACACTGCATGCTAAATGTGACAAATCGTCTTTCCCCTGATGAAAAAGAACGGGACATGCAGATGGATCGTTTCAGGGATTCAACTCAGAGACTTGCCCTTCTCGTACTGGCGAGTAAGTCTAAGGATCAATTATGTTGTATCGATCAATAGAAGTGATATGAGGATAAATAAACCTACTATCGTAGTTGATATGTATCACCGGCCCAAAGATATCTGGGGTAGCTGAACTATAAGTAGTGAAGTGACATGGTCCACATCACGTCGAGCCTCGAGGGGACCATCTTTACCAAAGCAGGCCACATCATGCTGATACAGAGTGCAGAATTCGTATGGAGAAATCTTAATTCTATGGAGGTTGGAGTTTCTGGCAGCTGTCAACAGTGCCATGACCTCGGTAGGTAGCAGTCAGCTGAACCCTCCATCGGCCCACCAATCTCGGATTCACATTAATCTCCTTCTCACATCGTTTCTTCCTTACCATCGCTATCGAAACAACCTCACATACACTCATCATCACCGACGACACAATCATGTCCTCCGCACACGAGCGCAGCGAGGGCTCCGAACACCCTGGTAAACGCCGAAGAGTTGATGAGGATAGCATGCCGGAGAACGAACAAGCCGCATTGATAAAGAGCCTCGAGGAAGAGAACAAAGCCGTGGCGGAGAAATTGAAGGGAGTGGAGGAGTGCTTAGAGCTATTCCAGAAGTCTATCACTTTGTCTTTCGGTAAGGTGATTGGGGGAGAGGCTGAGTACGACAGACTCAAGAATGCGCTAGAGCGGACAAAAGCAGAGATAGCATCATTGCAGCTGGCTCCTGCTCAGACAGCGAAAGAAGAAACTCGGCAACAAAATGTCCTCAAGTTGGTCGAAAAGCACAACTACAGGATCACAATACCGATAACAACTCATGCTCAAGTCATGGAGCATTTCCAACCGCTGGTCACTTCTGGGAACAAAGAACACATCAACCATTTGCTGGATTTCGTCTTCTTTGCAAAGATTGGGAAATGGTGCTGTTTCCAGGAGGTTTGCGAAAATGGAGCGGTAGGGTTTACTGAAGTACGTACTGGTTCGGGATGTCCACTTCATGGGGCAGAGTGTAACCAGGTCATGATGATGAGATCCGAAGCTGTTCCTCATTACCAGATCATCTTCAAAAGGTTTGAACCGACGTGTTCATCACAATGAACTTCACTGTCGTTCAGTGCAGGGTAGCGCCGGCCCACAAACCGTGAAGGACAGGGGTTCCGTTGCCGTTGAACCCCTCCACCTCCACCTCCACCAACTCTGCCGTCTTCCGATTTGTTTACTCTACCATCAGCCTTACCTTATTTACACTCCGCCTTTTCAGGTGGTGCCAGCATATCTGCCGAAAAACTACATAAACGGCACTTCCACTCTTCAAACACTCTCTTTCAACATGCCATCATGGCTGCAGTTCAGCCTCGTACGCGGTCTGCCCGCTTAGTGGCCGGCTTCACCAACAAATCTACTCAACATGCACCAGCAGCGGCGCCAAGTCCTCATGTTCACCATGGACCCCCGGCGCTGTCGATTTTTTTGACCAATTTGAATCTTTTGGACCTCGATCAACATGAGGATTGGCCTGGTATTACGGCCCAAACATTTGCAAGCGGCGGTTCTAGTGCGCAGGGCCTGAAGAAGAGGGTACACTGCGTTGAATGGGCGCTCTTCCAGCTCTTTGCGCTGTGGGATCCTGATGAAACAAAAAAGGTAAGACAGCAACCAAAAGTGAGGACCAGACTGACAGTTGTAGAAACTCAAACCCTTCTTCCCTCCTCTCGACCAAACTCAATCGGTCAACCTGCGAGCCGCCCTACTACGAGCTCTCGAGCAAGCAAAGAAGAATGGTGTCCTCGGAAGGGACGCTATCGTACGAAAGACAATGCTGGACGAATGCCGGGGCGAAAGACTCGAAGAAGTTCTCGCAGCATTTTCATCTGCTGTGCTCAAACATGTTATTGCTCAAGAGGTCGCAACAAGCGGTGAACATACAGCACTTGCTCTCGGACTGGCGCTCGAGGACCGCGGATACAAGAGCGACAACACAGATCTCAACACCATGGTTTTGGCGCACAAGGTTGCCATTAGTCGCATACTCAACAGCAAGGTGGCCGCCAGTTCAAGGTTCCGCGACTTTGCCGACCTTTTGACAGTCAAGGAGAAGGGCATTGCGAGAAGAAAAGAAGCACTTGATGCTCTCGAGGGAGGCAAGACGATCTCCGATGATGCCAGACTGGAGATGTGGCGGACACTTCGAAACAACTGGTCTGGTAATGAACGATGGATGGAGACGCTACTCTATGGAGATGCCAGCGTTAAGAAGGATGGACTTTTGGGCATGCCTTTCGATCGTGTTTGGCGAAGAGTCCAGCAAGGTCGACTGGGAGAACTTGAGGAGTACTCAACAGGTCTCCTGGAACAGCTGGACACTCGAGTTCGTGTACAGAGGGAGCGACTTCAAAAGTGGCAGACCTTTCGCAACAGGCTGTCAGCCGATCAGCCAAAGCCATCGCCATCCAAAGTCAAGCAAAAGGAAAAGGAAAACGGCATCGATTTTGGGTTTGGTGCTCACGAGGCACTTCATCTTGGGAGAGCCAGCCCTAAGAAGGCGACTTTCGGCAAACCAAAGCTTATCAACGAGTACGAGGATCTTGTGACCAGTCTCAGCCAGGAGTTGCAGAGCACAAAGCCTCAGAAGTCTTCAGCTCTTGACTTTTTGCAGCGCCCTGCTTCTCAGAATACACCAGTAATCAATGCCCCGGCCCCCGAACCTCAAGAAGAAGAGGAAGAGGCGATCAGCGAACTTGAAGATGAGGATGGGTTTGCTGAAACCCCGATTCAGTCTTTCAAGTCCAAGCTCGACAAGTCAAGAAGGCTTCCAGTGCGCCCTAAGCTTGCTCATACGGATGACTCTTTTGCTTCGGTCTCTTCGCGCGCCAGAAATCTGCGCAAGCCATCTGAGGACGAAGCTCGTATTCTTCGTGCCTCGTCAGTTGAACGGACGAGTTCACCCGAACCTGAGGATGAACCTGTCGCAGCTTCTCCACGACCTGAGTATGATGTTTCACCTCAGTTGTCACCTCATATGTCGCCTCAACCGTCGCCTCCCCCATCACCTCTGCCACTACAAGAATCACCAGAACTAATGGCGGCGCAACCTTCTCCCACCCAAGAAATGGCAGACCAGATTCTTGAATCTATGGATATGGCTTCTCCTTCTCCAGTCAAACGACGACCCAAACCTCGACATACACTTTCACTCGCTGAACGAACTCGTCTCACCATGGCTCGCGGATCATTCGACTTTCCCGACAATGAAGACATTGATATATCCCCACAAACATCCGCAGAACCTGTTCCTGCAGAGGACCCCAGTCAGACACTTGTTGACGATGAAATTGATCTCATTGCTCGGACCCGGAAGAGTATGGCTGGTTTCGATAAGGCGAGACAGAAGGCCCAGATGGACAGGCGACGTTCTCTACGAAAAATCAAGGCACCCCCTAAGAAGGAGGGAAGTTACTTTCCCAAGGTGGAAGAGGAAGACATGACCATTATTACTGATGAACTGATGGCTCAAGAGGATATGGAGGCTGTTTTCAGATCACGACCCAAGATCAAGGCCAGCCCTCTGCCAAGTCCGACCAAAGATTGGGATGACGACGAATATATGTAGTCACGATAATGAATTCTCCTTAATCATAGTTTACATGCTCTCATCTAACATACACCGTGCTTTTACACTCTACCAGCCCTGCTTCTTAAGCTCCATAACTCTGCTAACAGTCGCCTTGAAACCATGTTTGAATCGTGATCGCCATCGCTGACTTCTTAGTCTCTTCTTCTTAAGACCCTTTCGCTCGTGGAACTTTTGGCTGTGGAATTTGTTCTTGACTTGATCCTCTCGGATGATTCTGTTGAGAACTCGAAGAGCAACCATCGGTGTAGGGCCGGTTGTCTTGGTTACTCGGTCCTTGATGAAGACTGTACGGCCAGTGACAGGCTTAGCACGGATTTGAGGTCGAGCAATTGGATCGGAGACGACTTCGGCGCCGAATGCGCTGGACTTGTTGGCGATGATGGATGCAATGTCCAGACTGAAGGGTTTCGAAGCATCATAGGCGTGGCTAGGCTTTGATTCGGTGGTAGAGTCGGCAGTAGAGTCGGCGGGAGGTGGTGAAGGAGGAACACTGCCGATGAGGGGGTTTGATCGAGCTAGAGGAGCAACGGCTGGAGGTGCCTCGTCATCTGTAGGAATCTTGGGACCTGTTCGGAAGGCGAGTGAGGTTGTGAATGACCTCTTGGCGAGACATGTTGAAGGTGTAGCTACTCTCGACAGCATTGAGCTGCCAACTCTGAGTGAAGCGGCCCTAGAAATGTTAACATCTAATTCAAAGGTACAAGGTCAATTGACTTACATCTTGTCGATACAGCTAAACCGCCAATGGCCGTCGTCAATAGCTGTCCCAAAACAGGCGATGCAGAAAAGTCGCGATATTCGGAAAAATGTAGGTGCGAAAGAAGGCGGGATTGTGGACCGAAAACCGGCCCCACATTGAAACATTTCAGCCTCGTGCCTGGGTGCCTCAACACGGTTTGCGCCTGCATAAAGAATCGCGAAACAACATTCAAGAACAATTCCATCGTTAACTTGACGTGAAAACTTTACTCAAAAGTCTTACGCGACCATATTCATCCCCGATTCTCCGCGCGTATACGCGACGGCGCCAATATGGCGTATAATCCTTATGGCAGTATGTTTCCCTTGAATCAGTATCAACAGAGCTAACTTGAGTAGACAATCCCTACGGCGCGCCTCCTGCGTATGGAGGATATCCCGGATCAAACAATGCCCCTCCAGGAATGGCCCCTCCACCTGGTCTAGGTGCGCAGACTCTGCAAAACACTCACTACCCTTCTAACATGTTCGCAGGACCTCCTCCAGGCATGTCTTCTGCTCCGGGAATGGCACCTCCAGGTGTCCAGCAGTCTAGCGCCCCGCAAGCTAATCGTCCAAGCGGCCTTCCACCCAGCTTCCAAGCGCCTGCAAACATGCCCAACATCAACTTCAACGCCCCCGTGATTCGACTCGGTACATCGCAGCAGGGAAAGCCCGGTACTCCTACAGCGAGCGGTCGTGATATGCCTATGCCCAGCGGTGGACGACCTGGCTTGGGAATGGATCGAGGAGGTGATCGAGACCGAGGTGCGAGGGAAGTAACACAGGTACTTGTTCCCCCGACGAACGAGGAGAAGCTCCGAACGATCTTTATAAATGAGATTCCTGAAGGCTTGGGCGGCGATGAAGGGATCCTACGACTGTTGGGCGCTTGTGGAAAGTTGCGGAAGTGGGATTCTGAAGCTAGTGTCACAGAAGATCATAAAGGCGTTAAGTTTGGTTTCGCTCTTTTTGAGGACCCTTGGTCGCTGAGTACTGCAGTCAAACTTCTCCACGAGCAACAAGTCGAAGTTCCCGTCAAGCGACAACCAGTAGCCGCGGATGCACCCAAAGACGACACGTACGAGGGTATCGACAAGACGAAGCTCAAAGTTATGGTCGATGAGAGTTCGCTCAAGTACCTGGAGTCCTACGAGGAGAGTCAAGACGGTGCTATCATATCGGAGAAGCTCGAGGCGGCCAAGTCAGCACTTAAGGACGTTGTTCACGATTTGTTCTATCCCAAAACCAACACAGCAACTGAGGATGTCACAATGGGCAACACCGAGTCTGGCGAGAATGTTGAAGTGGTGAATATCCCATTGGCTCAAGAGGACGAACTCGCAGATATTCCAGCTGAGATGAGGGAAGTTGTGGCACAAGAAATCGCTGCATTCCGAGAACGCAGCAATCAGCGAGATCTGGAGCGTTTAAGAAAGGAAGAAGAGATGGAGGAGATGGAGCGACGACGAAATGGACCAGCCCGGCATTCTCGACTCGATTCACCACCAGCTACCAACAACATTCCTCTTGGCCCAAGAGGCAGCATAGCAAATGCGCCATCAGGACCTAAGGGACAGAATGGACAGCGAGTTGCCTTTGTGAATGGAGGTATCTCAAACACAGACCTTTCTATTCACCAAGAAGATGACGACACAGACGCCAGCGACGGAGAACTGTACCGACGATACAAGTCCAAAAAGGATGAGGAGGATGAGAAAGCATATCTCGAAGCTGAGCGCAAGTGGAGCAACAGGGAACGATCAAGACAAGCAGCAATAGACCGAGAGCGCGAGCGAGAACGTCAAGATGCAGAGTCATTCGAACAACGAAAGCAAGAGCAGCTTGAGCGAGAAAAGGCATGGGATGATGAGAAAGAAGCAAGTCGCAAGACACACCCCTACTACCGCGATCACAGCGGTTGGGCTCGCAAGAGAGCTGGTGATCGTGCAGATGAGGAAGCACAAGATGAAGCAGACAGAAGAGCAGAGCATGATGAACAGCGCCGTGAAAAGGCTGAGATGGAGCGTGCACGTGGTATGGCCGACTCATTCCTCGACAAGCAAGCTGAAGAAATGGATCAGCGACAAGCACCCGCCGCTGCACCACAGCCGTTCAAGCTATCCCTCGGAGCCGCAGCTCAGAAGGCTCAAGCATCCAGGGCAGCACCACAACGGCGCACAATCGCAGAGGTGGAGGGTCTCTTGGACGACGAAGAAGCGGATACTTCTACAAAGCGCCAACTGGTCCCTATTCAATTCGAGCCCTCATCTGCTACGGCGCATATGACAGAAGAGGAAATCTCACAGGCTGTTCGATCCCTGGCTCAGGAAATCCCATCGGACAAGGATGGTCTGTGGGGATGGCAAGTCAAGTGGGAGTTCATGGATGATGCAGTGGTAAAGGACAAGCTTCGACCATTCGTGGAGAAGAAGATTGTTGAGTATCTCGGTGTACAAGAGGAGATGCTCGTTGAAGCAGTGGAGGAACATCTTCGCACTCACGGTACTGCAGCCGCTCTGGTGGAAGAGCTGGAAGGAGTACGTCCCCCCCCCATTCATGTCTTATGATCACATTACTAACACACGTTTCACAGGCACTCGATGATGAGGCGGAGGATCTTGTCAAGAAGCTCTGGCGTATGGTCATCTTTTTCACTGAGAGCGAGAAACGCGGACTACCGGCGTGATGAGGAGATGTGTAAAATGTACTATTATAATTCGATGGGTTTCAATACCAATGAAATAGGTGAGGGCGTTTGAGAGCTGTGGGAATATACAATTGAATCTACAGTAACTTACCAATGTCTTTTGTCTTTCTGTGGTGTTAATGAGGGGGATCGTCGGCGCGTTGCCATTGTTGGGGGAGCTTCCGAGGTGCCGAGGTTCCCCACACTGAGCTTACCGTGGTACGGATACTGGAGCTTGTAGTGATGTAAATAAGAGCTCCGGCTTCAGGTTCTTGATCTTTCAGTTCAAACATCAGTAAATCACATAAATCACAGTAACAATAAACATCATGTCAAAGTCACTCAATCCCCCAAAAGTGCCTCACACCGTCATATCATTCCCCCACCCTCACGTCGTTCTCGTCACCCTCAACCGCCCAGAACATCTCAATGCCCTCCAGCGCCAAATGAGTTTCGATCTCGACCGTCTCTGGAAATGGTACGACAATGAACCCTCACTCCGCTGTGCCATCATAACAGGCACCGGACGCGCATTCTGCGCTGGCGCAGACCTCAAAGAATGGAACGTCAAAAACTCAGAAGGAAACGTCAAAGACGTTGAGAAATGGGCAGAGAACGGTTTCGGTGGTTTGAGTAACCGCCATGGAAAGAAACCCATCATCGCAGCCGTCAATGGTCTTTGTCTCGGCGGTGGAATGGAAATGATACTTAACCTCGACATGGTCATCGCCAGCGAGACCGCCAAGTTTGGTCTTCCAGAGGTGAAGCGCGGAGTCGTTGCCATCGCCGGTGCACTACCCCGTCTTATTCGAACGGTAGGACGACAACGGGCATCAGAAGTTGCGCTTTTGGGACGTATGTACAGCGCACAGCAGTTCTTTGACTGGGGTATTGTGAACAAGGTTGTTAAGCTGGAGGATGTTGTTCAAGAGGCGTTGAAGTGGGCTGTTGAGATGTCTGACAATTCGCCCGACTCGATTATTGTGTCCCGCGAGGGTCTTTTGGGAGGGTGGGAAGCTGAGGGGCCTAAGGAGAGTACGAACAGGATTGATGGGGGGATTTATAAGAGTATGGAAGGTGGTGATAATATGAAGGAGGGTGTCTTGAGTTTTGTCGAGAAGAGGAATGCTGTTTGGAAGAACAGTAAGCTGTAGACTCTCAGTGCGGGTGTTATTAGAAGAATGGACATAGCATTGATCTTCATACAGTTGATTGCTGCTCAGACATTGGGCTGCCACCAACGTCGATGGCTTGTTAGTGTCTCAGCTTCCAAATCATTATCAATTCACCACTTCGCGGGCATGTTTGCGCATATCCGCCTAGCGACTCCTAGGGACGGCCCTTAATAGCGGCTCATAGATTCCGCGATGGAGTAATTCATTCTCCGATTGGTATGCGCTTAGACTTTCATTCCAAAAGAACTAGGGATGTCGATCGACAGCAAAATCTCTCGGGCAGCCACATGTAGTAGATCATCACCCAAATCTCCCAAAGAGGGTTCTCAGCTCGACGCGGGCAATCTGTATGTCCCCAAAAACGAGATAGTGGTAAACGCAATTCACAGCTATCGGCAATTGATGACGATCAGCGAATTCTGGTTGGTGAGAGGTGCACCACCAGATGCAAGGATGACCTAGTGGAGTTGGCACGGTGAAAGCTCCAACTTGGTTCGACGATAGTTTCTTGTTTGAGGTCCTCAAATGTCTTGGGCTGAATGCATGAGCCAGTTAGAGACAAGCGGCCCCTTTAGAGGGTATCGTCATGGTAGAGATCGACGGGAGAGATCAAATCGTCAGCCTGGAAACACCCACTACCTGTTCACTGGCGCCGCCATCTAAGACATTGAGCCACTGTCGTATCTTGTCCTTGTACCACCGCAGGTAGCTGCGGGGATGCATACCGGAATTATTGTATTGTTTACCGCTTGGCTGATCTTTGGCCGGAACATGGTTCAGTTCGATGAGATTTGAGACAGCCCGGGCTAGTGATCATGTCCAACATAAGAGGCTGCTCCCCAGCTGCACTCGGCTGCATTCGTGAGCACCTTGTGTGATGTTACAAACCTTCGCCTGGTGTCACGGTGGGAACGAAGTGTGCAGCAATGGATTACAGTCACCTCGCCCCGAATTCTCTGAATGAGTCTGTTAAAGGCCATCCCGAATCATCTAGGGATTTTCAGAGCAGACCTTCAACTCCTGCAATGGGACTTGACCCAGGTGTCGGATTTGGGCGAAAGCCTCGGAAGCTTGTTCTCTGTTTCGATGGAACAGGAAACAAATTCCATGGCGATGATAGTGACAGCAACATTCTCAAGATCTTTCGAATGCTTGACCGTCAGGCCGATGACCAGTACCATTACTACCAGCGTAAGTGATCCGTTCGTCGCAGCCACATTCAACTCACACAATCCAGCGGGCATTGGCACCTATGTCGTTTCAGGATCGCTCACTCATACCGGTGTTCGGGCTCGCTTTGATTCTTGGTATCAAAAAGCCAAAGACTCGGCGATTGGCTCTTCATTCGACCAGCATGTCGTAGGAGGCTATCGATTCCTCATGCGATTCTATAACCCCGGCGATGAGATTTACATGTTTGGTTTCAGTCGGGGAGCATATATCGCACGCTTTCTAGCTGAGATGCTCGATTACATCGGCCTTTTGTCGCACGGCAATGAGGAAATGGTCAAGTTTGCGTGGAAGGCATTTGCTCAATGGCAAGGCCGTGAACAAATTCCTGAAGATGAGGAAGATTGTGATAAACCACCAAGCAAAGAGACCGAAGCCGCAAAGAAGAAAAGAGATGAAATGTTCCAATTCATGAAGGGCTTTCGAGAAACATTTTCTCGTCCAGTTGGTCGTATTCGGTTCCTTGGGCTCTTCGACACAGTCAATTCGGTCCCGAGATTTGAGACAGCTTGGATGCAACGCAGCAAGTTCCCGTATACTGCAAGAAGTAGCGCAAGAGTGATTCGCCATGCAGTCAGTATCGACGAGAGACGAGCCAAGTTTCGTCAGGATCTTATGTATCAAGATCGACCCAAGCAGAAAGATGACAAAGGTCATCACTTTCACAAGGCAATCAACGATATCCGCGAAGAACTCAATGGGCACGACGATCGAGGCAGAAAAGGCAATCACCTCTCCCCCAATGACAAGAGAGGTGGTCGAAAGAAAGGAAACGCATATGCCCCGTATCGTGCTCGCTCCAGATCATGCAGAAGGCCAAGCCAATGCGGAGATCCAGACAATTTCTCGAACCTCTCCGGTCTGGCTCTTGATGAGATCAACAACATTGACGACGATGCCGCCCAGGATATTGACGAGGTTTGGTTCTCTGGCGGCCACGCCGACGTTGGTGGAGGCTGGGAAATGCTCGAAGGGAGCAAGAGTACCAGTCACATCCCTCTCGCATGGATCGTGAGAGAAGCCCAAAAAGCCGGCCTCCCGTTTGACGATGAAAAAGTTGCCGAAATGGGATGTTGTGCTGCCCACGACTGGCAAGAAGCAACAGGACGACCACCAATTCCTGATCTTCGAGTCTCAAGCGGCAGTGGAGGTCCAGGTCATGCACCCGATATCCCCATGGACGAAAAGACAGACCATCCCAAGAACAATTTCCACGACGTAATGCACGGCGCATGCACAGCTCGAATCCACGACTCCCTCGAATACGGCCAAGGTCTCGGTCCCTTCGCCGTAACAGCCTGGAAAATCATGGAATACATGCCCTTCCGTAGAATGGATCTTCAGTCCGACGGATCATGGAAGCCCATCCGCTGGCCTCTTCCTGGAGGTGAAGTTCGAGATGTGCCTGATACAGTCCGAGTCCATGGGAGTGTAATTCGTCGTATGAAACATGATAAAAATTATCGGCCTGGGAATCTCATCATTGGCGGTGGTGGTAGAGGTGTTAGAAAGGCTTCTGCTCAACACGGTATTGGTGATTGGGAGTGTGTAGCTGATCACGGCGATCCAGTTGGTGAAATTTGGACGAGAAAAAAGAAGGATGACAGGTATCGAGATTAGTCATGGTAATTGATGAAGAACCAGATAGTCAATTAATATTTTATTTGTCTATTTAAAAGTTGTTGAGGTGATCTTGAAGTCGATGCTCATGGCAAGTACAAGTGGATCACGTGAAGCTCCTTAGAGGGCCACGACACCAAATCTCCATCATAGGTACCTAGCGCAAAGGAACCTCCAACATGCGCTGAACAACACCGCATCAATTCATCGCCATGCCTCTCGTTCTATTCCTCGGCGTCCTCGAAAATGGCATCCCCGAACAAGTCCGCCAACACAGCCGCACAATAATCTACACCATCCTAACCCTCACCCTCCTAACCCTCCTCAAAATCTGGACATCCGGCCGCAAGAATCCCACCCAGCGCCTCCTCCATGGCAAAGTCGTCATGATGACCGGCGGAACGTCCGGTATAGGCGCCCAAACGGCCCTCGGGCTAGCATCTCAGGGTGCGCAGCTGGTTCTGCTCACACAGGCGCCTCCGTCGGATCCGTTCCTCGTCGAGTATATCCAGGATCTGCGACAGAAGACGAACAACCAGATGATCTACACGGAACAAGTCGATTTATCGGATTTTTACAGTATTCGGACGTTTGCGACTAAGTGGATTGATAATGCGCCGCCTCGACGGTTGGATATGATTATTTTGTGCGCTGCTGTCATGACACCTCCTGGTGGAAAGAGGAGGGAGTCGGAGGAGGGGATTGAGGAGACGTGGATGGTCAACTTTTTGGCCAATTTCCATTTACTCGGTATTCTAAGCCCGGCTCTTCGTGCGCAGCCCATCGATCGAGATGTTCGAGTTATTATTCCTACCTGTTCATCCTACATCGGATCACCATCTCTCAAGGAGCCCGTCTCAAAGGCCAATTGGACCCCCGGTACCGCATACGCTCGCAGCAAACTCGCCATGAACGTATTTGGCCAAGCATTCCAGAAGCATCTCGATGCCTACGAGCGACCCGATAAGGCCCCCAATAACACACGAGTAGTCTTCGTCGATCCAGGCCTTGCCCGAACCCCCAGCACCCGTCGCTGGTTGACGCGTGGATCTCTCTGGGGACTTGCCATCTATCTCGCTGGCTACTTGGTTCCCTGGTTCCTCCTCAAATCTCCTCACATGGCCGCCCAATCCATTCTCTACACTGCCATGGACGGTGACTTTGCTCGAGGTCCTGGAGGAAAGCTCATCAAGGAGTGTATGGAAGTAGACTTTGCGCGCAAGGAAGTCAAGGATGAGGAAGTCGCTAAGAAGTTGTGGGAGGAGAGTGATGCTCTGATTGAAAAGGTCGAGAAGATCCAGGCCAAGAAGAGAGCTGCTAAAAAGGCTGCCGATGAAAAGAATGCCAAGGAAAAGACCGAAAAGGAGAAGGAGGCCGAGATTGAAGAGCTTGTGGATGCCATCAAGAAGGGCAAAGAGAAGCATAAAAAGGCCGCGGGAAAGAAGGGTAAAAAATAGTCAACGATGTACATGAACATAGACATAGACGGAGTTTGGGTATTGGTCCGGCGGTATACGGGATGTAATATGTAACACAAATGAAAGATCCAACGGACGTGATTTTATTGCTATCACCAACTCCGACGCTTCCCCTTATCCGTATCCGTACACAAGTATATAAAGTAGCTCCTCGCCGCTATGACTGACGCTCACCAAGAAAGTCAAAAGGTCCAGTGAACAGCAGACTTTCCATCCCTGGATCAACTTCTAGATCTGCCAATATGTTGGTCATCCACGTATCTTCTGACTCGCCCGTTATTTGAAGACTCGGCACCAAGCCAGCATCTTGAAAAGACGATGGTGTAAGTCCAATATCCGCGGTAAATGGGTTTGAAGGCGATGTCTCGGTAGATCCGAACAGACTCCCGACTTCAGGCGATTCAACGGGGCCACAGCGCTCAAGATACCATCTTTCGATACGCCGGGCTCTTCTCGCAAGGCCAAAGTATGGGTCTGATTCACCATCACCTGGGTTCGAGTTTGAAGCGGATTCCATGCGTAGGACGATTTGACGAAGGGTGTGAGGCATGTCGAGAATACGTCGAAGATGACCCGCAGTTTGTGCGTTTTCGGGTTGTGCTGCTACAAGGTCAAGTCGTACTGATAGTGAGACTGCGCAGTATAGCATGATCCAGCCTATGTTGGGCATTGTATCTTCATCGCCTTGAGGGAGAAGGAGGATCACGCTTATTAGGGACTTTGCCGCAGACATGCTTTGTGAGAGCCAGTCTAGAAGACGACCCTGGTCTGCGCCTTGCTGAAGACTTTGGAAGCCGTTTGGACCGTATGAGACGCCATCTGGTGAAGGTTGGCAGATAAGGAGGTCAAGGACATGTAATTGCAGAAGAATTGTGGCTAGATGTGTCAGAAGAGATTCTTCAACTTTGATGGGAACAGGCACTTACGACTCTCGCTGAGCGGAAATGGCAAGGATGATTTTGTCGACGTATATCGCTCTCTGATTCTATGTAGCTCAGCAGGCAGCTTATCCTGTCTTGACCCTCGCATTGCTCCTGTGGCTTCAATGACTGCATCGTCGACCTCTTCGGTAAGCTTCTGAAGATAAATGATGTATGGAAGATGTCTGTCAGAAGGAGCGGTTCCCCTGGACAAAAGGTTGTGACAGCATTCGAGGATAAATGGAGAGTATCGAAAGTGATGTGACTTTTGTAGCAAGACAGCCGAACTATTGCGTGTTAGATGTGGCTTGGAGGCTGTTGTACAACATAGTCTACCTTGAAGAGAGATAATAAGTCCCGGCCAAAGCTCTCATTTCATCATGTGTCATTTCACCAGACCCGTGCTTACTCTCTCGATTCAAAGCCCATAGACTTGCAACTCTTGGTCGATCAAGTCTCATATCTGATATTATACTTGCTGCAAGTGATAAATGCTGGGTATACTTCATTGTTCCTTGATGAAAATGCGCCCTGAATCATTAGCGACGAATTTTGAGAAGACGTAGTACTCACCATGCCAAATGCACTAACAGTCCTTGCAGCATATCCAGACTTGCAAAAGGCCCCTTTATCATCCTGACAAGGACAATTTCGTTGAAGAGCTTCCCCAAATCTTGCTGAAGCTTCAGATCCTCGTGTGAAGCCGCCGCAAGTATAGCAACACACAATGTTGGTTTGTCTTGAACCAACCCCTGAATGGTTACCGACTCTGCAACCACCACGAACGGAAAATGAGGCGACATGCGCATTCTAAAAGTATCAAGAAACTCTTGCCCCTTCTCAAATGACAATATTCCTCTGGAGAACGGGTTGTGAGATGCCTCCGTATCGATGCTGGCTGGTGTCGTGGACACACCAGGTGAAGTATCCGTAACGTTTGCTGAAGTCGCATTGGCCGAGGTCAAAGATGGTGACCTTGATCTGGTAGGACTCGCAGCTTCAAGATTCCTTGACGGCCTGAACCAGGTTAGTAATTGCAAATCACAAAGTACAAAAGTCTTACCCAGGCCTCAAAGCCTTTCGTCGCCGAGAAGGATTAAAGACACATGTCTTGTTCAAGCGCAAACACCTGTCGCATTTTCCAGACTCCTGCGATTTCTCGCATCGAATCTTAGCATGAAAACACGTCTGGCACGTCTTAAGCAACGGGACATTTGGGTCTGCTCTCGAGGCCATTGTGAATACAGTTTAACGTCTTTGTTTTGATGCTAGCGTAGATGAAATTGAATCATCAAACTTCTCAACGGCGGGGAAAACGTCTCATTTAGATCCACGACTCATGGATCCTAGCTTATCCTTTTCATCACATTGGAATGACCTCGAAGGCGGATCTGATGGTTTCCCTCTCTTTACCGTCCCCGTAGGTCAAGAGATCACCAGAAATTGAGTCGTTGTGGTTGAGGAGCGGACTTGGATCCTGAATGTGGCTGTGACACTGAAGCCAGAGATCGGACTCGGCTTTGGTTTCAGGGCACTTGCAGCGGAATTTTCTGTGTCGGTGTGGCGATGCAGGTTCAATGCAGCGCTATATCTGGGCTTTGCAGGGTTGTATCGTCATCGAAAAAGGAGCAGACTGTGGCTGGGTTTTCATCCAAGTCCGTGTCCGTTCCAACACGGCACTTGAATGAAGGGATTAACGACGGCTCGCACCGACGCGCTCGTTATTGGTTTCGTTTCTGGAACGGTTTTAAGAAGGTTATGCCAAACAGATTGGAATCCAAGGACGAAGCCAAGCTTGTTTCTCCACATCAGCTAAAGCTTGTGTTTAAAGCAGCCTTGTAGGGCGGAATCAGACTTCAAGGTTTCCCCGCTTGACAAAGCCACTGCCGTCCGTTCTCCTCGGTGACATTCAGCTTGACTGGTGTAACCGGCGTCGCACCCTCCAATTTATTCGGTGCTCCTGGTCGGCCGACCTGAAATCGACAATCCCAGCCTGATAGCTGAGAATCCTGAGATAAAAAGTGTCCAATAGGTAGCATTTTTGGCAATTGGGACGGAGTTCGGATAGTCCTGAACTCAGGATGAAATTATTCCTGGTTTAATCGCTTGAGTCCGGTGGCTTGTCTAGAAGCTCATTCAAGCCATTGCTGAATGGATCATGTTAAAGTTGATGATGATGATGCATGAGTCGGGCTTCCTACAACTTCTAAATGCCTGTGGACGCAACTTCCCAAACATTACACCACCATCATGTGTAGTTCACTGGCCGCGCCTTCCTTGTGATTGCATTTCTTGACATCAACGATTAACTTCAAGTAATCCGACTTTAAGCATTACATTCTACACTTCCCAGTCACAAACCATTTACGCAACAACCGCCGCATGAAATGAAAGCTCTGACTACACTGCCCAAGCCTCCAGCGATCAACTTTAAGATACGTTATTCGTGTAAGTATACAGAGCCCGGTCTCGCCAGCCCCTCCAGTCATCGACCGAAATATCGAGATCATCAAACCGTCGACGCTGCTGACAAATTCGAGCTGAAGGAATTGGACATCTTTTCGACACCCGATCAATCATGGTTACACGCAACGCCCGGAAACGATGTTTTCGGTCAGTGTTTTGATCAGAATTTCACAGATTTGGCGCTACTGCCCGGGAATCAACTGGTGATTGATCCACAGTTCCTCCAACAGCTGTCAAGGCATCCTTGAGGTAGTTGCTCATAGCCGTTTTGTAATGAAACATTGACAACGACATTGTTAAACACTTTTGAAAGCGATACAAAGACGTTGCAGGCCTTGCGCATCTTATGTTTCTTCCACTTCTCTGGCGCCTTTCATGGTGTGGATTAAGGCTCGGACCAAGAAGAGTCACACCAGGCTGCACCTCGCTGCATGTTGGCTTCGCAATCACCTGCATGACCAAAATGTGAGCCATCGCCCAAGGATCGGTGGGCTATCAGCCAACAGCGTTCATCATTTCAACCACCTTTGCTGCTTGTGCTTCTCTTGGCACATTCTCAGATGCAATATGGCGTACAGCGGTCACACTTCAAACTTGATTGGTAATTGATCCGAGAGCCTGACCCCCTGAGCCCGGCCCATTGCGCTGTCCATCGAGGATCTACCAATCGCACTCTGGTACTCCGAGCAAGCCCCGCGTTATCTTGAGCCGCAGCTGTCAGGAGAGCAAATATCTAGCAACCTGCCCGACATGCCTGGCGCAGTCCCCAACCATCCCCGAGGCAGACTGTCTTCAGGCGACAAAAACGCCCAAGGCGACCTTGCGCGATACAGAACTGAGAAAACAAAAACCCCATCACCAAAATCTAACCGCATTCCACATTCGCCAATCGTTTGTTTGCCACCATGAAGCACAACTCTATTGTGGCATACAAAGTGCGGCTAGAGGATGTACGAAGGCACCTTCGGACCAAATTCAATGACCAAACCATTGAGGTCGAGGTACGTAGGTCGGGTCACTGGTAGTGGCAGTGCTTTCGTGGATCAGAAGCTGATCCGGGGCTCCAGCATATAGGAACCGAGTTTGTGTTCTATCTTCCAAGGACCTTGACTGAAGTGAGTTGTCTTCTTACATTTGTGCATCCTGTGATGTCTCTGGCCCAGCAGCTGACTGGACCAGGCTGAGAAAGACGAAATTTATGATCTGGCGCCATGAATCATGCAAATGGCTACAAATACGTTCTTGATATATCTTTTCGCAATATTCAATGTGAAAACCTGCATGCTTTCTATTCATTTACGCATTTGAGCAATATTGAGTCTTCAGTTCGGGTTACATGAGGCCTGTTGTATTCGCCTTCCAGCTCAGCCACTTTACATGTCAGTACCCTACCTGGCCTCATACCCTTTGTCTATCTCTACCATCTTCATTCACACCATCCACAAAAATCACTGCCAATTCCCTTTTGAGCACAGTTAATATCAGGCATTCTTTATCAAATTTTGCCGTTGCATCTGATCTAGGCTATGCGATTCTCTGATCCCTGCTACTTGGAATTGGAATTTTCTTCAAAGAAATAAATTAGCTTGGTCCCGAGTAATCTACGTAACCTTCAAGCACTAGCTCATTTATCAAACTCCCAATACTATCATGTCCTCCCAGAATAGTGTCACTACTGTGGAGCTGTCCGAATCGGAACGATACTTCGACAAGATATGCGATGCCTCTCACAACTACCCTCAAACTGCCTCCAGCAGCAGAAGGAGTTCCAGAGCCCGACAAGCAGTAGCTGATACATGGAATCGAGAAGCAGCTCGAATCTTCCACCCAAGACCTGAAAATGCTTGTCTCAAGATCTTTGAAACGTGCGATTGCATGACTCAATGCAACTGTCAATCACTCTCGGGTGATATCAAGACCATGGAAGATTTATTACTTCGCCTACAGCCAAATAAGAAAGCCCCAAGGATGAGATACGTGTAAGTACACTGGCCTGTACTCAGGCACAGGATTTAACAAACTTAGGTCTCTCCAATCCAAATCTTCTAAAGATCAAGTCAGATGTCCAGTCAAGATGTTCAAATATCTCTGCACATATCAACAAATACCGCCTTCGTTTCTGAGCTGTCTCTATTCTTTCCGACGGTCGCATTCTGCTCAGGAGTGGCGTAACCTTCCTCAATTCAACGACGACAATACTTTGCTCTCGGCTGAGGATGATATCCTCCCTCTCGAACGAATGGGTCTCTCAGGGCGCGAAATTAGGTATTCGTTCGTCTTGAGGTCCGTCGAGAGTTCCAGTTCCATCCCAAACAGATGTTGGGGAATCCGACAACTCGCAGTATATCATTCCTTTGACATCAAAAACGGTCAGTCGTTTTGGGTGACCTGCAAGGGAAACTCACTGAACGAGGAGTTGTTCCAAGAAGCCTTGAATGAGAATAAATCTCTCCAATCAAGCGTTCTGAAATCTGTTCCGCAGGCGTTTTCGTCTTCACTCGAGGCTCTCACTATGCTGATTGACTGGTGCGACGATGACTGGATCTTCTACATCAACGAACTATTTGATGGGATCAAACCACTTGTGGACAAGGCGAGAACGCCTGCCATAAAAGACGAGTCGGTCATTACCAAAGACGTGAAGATTATAACAGGGTTGGCTGAATCTCCTTCTCAAAGGCTCTCGCATATGACAAGTCTGGAATCTGGGTCAACCCACAGTCAAAGCAATGAAAAGGAGGATCCCTGGGGCGATCTTAATGACCGAGTCAAGAGACTCGAGAGGCTTGAAGTGTTTTCTTTTGACGAGCTACAAAAACTACAGCAAGGCTTAGAGACAATACAAGAAGCGCTCCTGGTTCTCAAGCTGAACAACCAAGTTATCAGACAGATCCGCGAGCACTACCAATGTCTTATGACTCAGTATCGGCTCCCGGCTTTGAAAGAGATTAAGAAGGGCTGCGGGGACTCTTTTCTTCAATATTGTCGGCACTCTCGAAATATTGAGGCCAATGTCGACGCTCATCAGGCGCAGCTCAATGCGCTGCTATTGCTCGTCAAGGAGAGCAAAGAAATGGTAAGTTACTGGTCAATACTGGAGTATTCAAGACTGACTCCTTTAGTACAATACCATTCTCCAGTACAAAACCATCCAGATCAACAAGATATACGCAGAGAGCGCTCATTTGTCAACTCGAAATATGGAGAATATCGCCAACAAGACCAAGCGAGAGACGAGTTCAATGCATATTATCACATTTGTGACTCTCATTTTCCTCCCTGGGACATTCATGGCTGTACGTCACCGTCCCCTTGGACACCTTGCAAAGTCTAATTATGTATGCAGTCCTTCTTTCAGAGCGGCATTCTTGAATGGCCTCAAGTGAACGCGAAGGCGCCATGGAGATTGAACAAAGAGATATTTTCTCTATTCTTTGGCCTTTCCGCTACCATCACGATTGTAACCATTGTTATTTGGATGATCATTCTTTTCATGCTGCGCAGGCCGCAGAATGGAAGAGTCAGATACGGATCTTAGAGTAACACGGCGCAATCTAGGGTGTTCATTTTATGTCATTTCCCACCATTTTATTCCTATCTGTACCTTTTATAGACAATAGATTTTCCAACATGAGTCAGGAGCTCGTGGACAAGATATATTTCAGGGATCATTACACAAAGTAGGATATGCTTGATGATGTCAATTCATGTACATGTGCGGAATCATCTGTTAGGCTGCAGCCTGATTCCCCGCGCGGATGTGTCTGTCACACCATTTCTCTTCTCTCACTTTTGTGTGAGGCTCTGTCATTGAGTTGCTTGTTGGGTGAACTATCTCCACCATGTTCCATCTCAGCCACTTTCAAAGTATAGATGCTCAAATTACAGATCTAAATCATACGAGAAGGCAGAAAACGAGTGGCTGCGTTTTTAAGGCATCTTCAACACAGCCTGCTTCCCCAGGTGGTGGTGGGCAAGATACAATGTTGCAGAGGAGAGCCTTGCTGCATATATGCACGCCCTTCCTAACCAATCTGGAAAGTTGATGGCCCGAATTGGCTTGAATTGGAAAGTGCCTTGTTGGAAAAGATCGCACATGCCTTTTATGCGAACCACTCTTCCGCGACCTTAAATAATTTACAGGAAAGGACCTCCACCACTTCCATCTTCCGTCATCATCACCAGATTTCGCCTTTTTTAATATATCATACATAATTGGATCTCGAAAGTCGTTGGTTCTACTCTCACATCGGACTCTTGCGGTCCCCATTGCATAGTCGCCATGCTTCATTCCAGAAACCATCCTCGCGACGAGCGCCATAATGAGTTTATAAGATACGTTCGCCAGGAGCTACAGCCGGGACTGGATGGGGACGACAACGAGACTCAATTCATTAGCCCTGTTGTCACGGCCAGATGGTGGAGGAGGGGTGGCCAGCAACGATTATCTCAAGCGATCGATCGCAACATCCACGCTCTTCCCTCCACGATTGAGAAGGGTTACTTAAATATCTTCTCCATTTTGGTCTATATTGGGAGGTCATATCTCATCAATCATTTTACTTCCAATGGTTACCAGGACCAGCAACTACCTTTACTCAATGCGCGCTGCTTTGGAGACGACCCTGCACTTGTCGACGACATGAACGAGTTTTGCGACATCCAATGGATGTTCTGCCCTCTTATCTTCTCGAGCAATACACCCATGGATAAGCGACAAATCGACCGGCGGCAAATATTACCTGTCAGCAAAATATCCAAAATTACAACCAAGTCAAACCACTCCAAGTCAATTATTCGAGTCGTGACTTTATACCCTGAGTGCTTCGACCACGAATGGAGTTCAACGGTAAGTTATTTCTTGTGCATCTCCTTTCCCAACTAACAGGAGCAGGGTACGGTCGTCTTCAAAGAATACCGCACACGAGAAAGAGAGAAGTTGCGAGACGCATGGGTTAAGGAGTACAACGCATTCGTCGCGATCGAGTCTTCCGATTACATTGTCAAATATCTTGGTTCGTTTGAGCAGAACAATCGCTGTTTTATGATCCTAGAGTATGCCAGTGAAGGCAGTCTTCTCGAATTATTCAAGCGCAACGAAAGACCAGCCACGGAAGAAGAGCGGCGGTATTTTTTATATGGCTTGATGGGTCTCACCAAAGCCATCGACAAGATACAAAACCTTGGAGGTGGCCCTCGGAATCAACGAACAGGATTGTATGTGACACTCCCAATCTTGTTAATTGTTACTAATGTTGTAGTGCTCACCGGGATATCAAGCCTGCCAACATTTTGGTATTCCCTGGTAGACATGGGCGGTACTCGTCTGGTTTCCAAATGAAGCTTGCTGATTTCGACACTGCGACACCTGATCGACCAATGGATGAGGATGAGACCAGCTTTCAGGATAATGATGGGAACCGGACATATTGTGACTACTCTCCTCCCAGATTGATGGATTACACTAACAAGCTGCAACAGGTTCCCCCGAAGCAACCAGATTCTACAGAGACCAGGAGAAGGGTTTGAGACAGGTCCCAGTCGCCTCTGATGTTTGGTCTCTTGGTTGTGTCATTAGCGAAGCAATCGTTTGGGTCGCTGGCGGAATGGCTGCCCTTGATGAAGCTACCAACGAACGCAGAAGAGAAATCCTGACACATTGGCCACTTCTTGCCGATGGTAGCTTTGGCGAATGCTTCCATAACAGCTCAACTGCACTTACTTGCGTGGTGAAATCACATTCAGCTGCGGTCGATGCGCTACAGGGCCCCATTTCCCTGTCGCGGAGCGTTTGCAGCCTAGTTGAGCGTTGGATGCTTGTGCCATTTCGAGAAAGACAAAGCCCCATCCTTATCTGGAAGGCCTTTGAGGGGACTTACCGCGATCTCTTTCGCCCTGCTCCCCCCTCAGGGTATTATAGCGGCCCTCCCTTACCTCAACCCGGCTTCAACAACACCACGGTATTCACCCAGTCGCCCATGAATATGACCGAGTCGTTGTTTCAGCCAGATCGATCTCCTCATCAGCGGACGTTTTCCCATCCGGAATCTTCAAGGCAGATCAGTATAGCCTTGAATCACCCTAATATGCACCAGCGAGACCCTCTTGGCATCAATACTCGAATGCCTTCAAACAACGGAACACCAGTTGATCGACGCATATCAACTCAATGGAGTCACAATGATGTTCAAGCTATAGCTGAATTGGAAGATAAATCCTCCCCCATCTCAACGGTGTCAACCAATGATTTCAACCTTGGACACGCGTTAGGTTCTCGGAAGCATCCTGGCATCTCATTTTCTGCTCAAGATAATCATCATCATTCGGTTCCTGATGCCAACAGCCCTGCCAAGACCTCCATCGACATCAACAGACTCACTCCGCAGAAACAACAGAACGGAGCGGGTATGTATGGCGATCTCACTATCGACGGTGTTGTCAATCACCGCAAGAAAAATGGTAAAAGGGAATTACTGGGGGGCTACGAACAGTTCTGCAATCGAATGGGGCGCCGACGTTTTGTCTTTATAATAGACGACTCTGTGACGATGCGCAGTAGGGAACGCGAGGTTCTTAAAGTGATAGAAGTTTTGGTATGGCTCGTCAGAAAGATCGATCCAGCTGGTCCAGAAATCCGCTTCACATCAAAACCAGACAAGAAATACCCAATAGAACGACGACCTCGATTCCTTCTGAAAATCGACAAGTTCATCAACCCAGTACGGCAATGGCTCAGTGGCAACGACGCTGAAACGCTCTGCAATATGAAGCACTCTTTCAACCAAGTATTCGCAGATGCTAATATGGTGGATCCCAAACGACCAACAAGTGTCATCATCTTGACAGATGGAATATGGGAGGGTGGCGGTCCTATTGAAGAGAAAGGTGTCGAAGCCTGTATAACGAAGGTGATCAAGCGAATGGAAGAGAAAGGCCTTGGTGATACCGCTTTTACCTTTCAGTTCTTGAGCTTTGGTAACGATCCAGATGGTCTCCGCCGACTGATCTATCTGGACGACCATGCCCTCTACGGAGGGGATGAGCATAACAGGACGTAAGTTGTCTTCATGATGGGAAAGCTTGGTGCTGACTGTTGCAGTGATATTGTCGACCATAAGAGCTCTGAATCAAATGTCTGGGCAATACTCACTGGGTCGGTGAGTCCAGGTAACGATGAGACGTCGGCGGGTCCATCAACGGGGAGGCCATCGTTTTCACAGGGAGAATGAGCAATGATTTAGGCGTTAAGCGGTTTTTGGAGTAATTGGAATTATATGGTGAACATTTACAGGGGAGCACTTAGACTTGGATTATACTTAAATACCCATATACTGCAATTCAATCTCTGATACAGGGCTTGTATGTTCGATGTCGTTAATCTGGTTTTATGTGCAGTGTTGTTGATCAGCTGCAAATGAGAGACCAAACTGAACGAGCTATACTTTTACAGTTCTAGCGCATTCTCCTGTTTCCCTTCCTGGCTCTTAGACAGGCTGGGATTGGATGGTGACGTTAGCTCAGTGTCTTCGCTCGGTTTGCGGAGTGTTACCCTATGCCTGATGGTGATCGGATTCAGTGCATGAGATCGGATGTGCATGACGGCTCAAGGGAATGATGGAAAAGTTAAGGCTAGTCACTAATATTTCAGGTTGACATAACAGGATAATTTAGGGAAATTATTTTGGCAGAGAGGCCTGGAGAAGTCGGATGAAAAGAACGAAAACTACAAATCGTGCGAATATTCACCTGCACCCGTCTTCATATCATTATGTCGCATACCATGATAGGCTAGGAGAGTTACTGTAGACTAAGAATACTAAGCCTTGAGTTGAGTTTATGGAATGAAGGTATCCTTGAAACCAAGGTGCTCCATTTCTCAATTACCAGAACGGCTGTTTCATAGCATACAGAGAATGCGATATTTGCTGGCTCATCGTTAACATACAAGAGGGCATCGTTATTTGAGAAGGATAGTTGACTATTCTGGTCTCGATCAAGTTGTTTGAACCAAAACTCGATACCTCTCATGTCTTGAAGTATGCACGAGGGAGTGGCGCTCCGCGACTTACAGTAATCTCAAGAGAAGAGCTTACAAGGATCATCCCAATAACTAGCCTTTTAAAGAGCAGCATGAAATACATAAGTTTATTTCACTAATAATGATATTGGTATGAGCTATCTCTGTAAATAGCTTCACCAGTGATATCTACAACCTTGACCTTTTGCGCCATTGAGTACCTATCTGCAGTACCGGGAGATGATCTTCAAAGGTATGCGGACGGTAATTGTTTTCAATTTGATGTGATATTGGAGTCATGGTACAGTAAAGTCTCGGGTGCCTGAATCGTGACGTGACTTTTCAGTAGGCCCAGTCTTTATTAACGAGGACGAGGTCATCTATGCATATTACTAGTAGAATAAGTAATTAACTGAGTTTCTGCTTTTCGGTTTCTTGTTTGAACCTTCTATTCTCGGTGTCGTAATACCACTAAGCTACACAAGAATGAATTACAAACCGGTACATCAGCACCTGGCCAGTAAGTACTTGTGCGGCATTGACCAAGTTTCATGGCGATATAACCCAAGAGTGATATATAAACTACAATTGAAGGCATGAAAAAGGTGTAAAGTGTTCCATGTCACTGCTCAAGATATCTGATGTTGGCTGCTACGGAATACGGCAGATTAGATGAGGCTCGTTCCATGCACACAATATCCAGATCTCATCTACCTCCCATTTGAATTATTACAAAGCGCTCCAAGTAATAACATCAAGTAAAATGATGTTATCATATTCGCCTGACCAAAAGATCACAGCAATTAGAAGGCAAGCCAAGACGTTTCATCCTCTGACCTTATCCGGGGGCGGGCGCTAAACCCCAAGCACCCAAGCGCCAAAAACTAAGCTACCCTTTCATCACATTCAAGCTCCCCTCCACTTCAACTGTCAAACCTCCATCATCACCAAACCACCTCCATCATGGCCTCCTATATCGACACCTCCCTCTCCGAGGCCCAGCCCGCCCCAGAACTCCTCGGCGAAGTCAAGAAACCCAAAAAGAAAAAGGTGCTCCTAATGGGAAAGTCCGGGTCTGGCAAATCAAGCATGAGGAGTATTATCTTCAGTAACTACATTGCCCGCGATACACGAAGACTGTAAGTCCCCCTTGCCTATGTCTGGGGGGTAAGCTGATTAGCTAGGGGCGCAACTATCGATATCGATCTTTCGCACGTCAAGTTTCTCGGAAACCTCACCCTCAACCTCTGGGACTGCGGTGGTCAAGAGGCCTTTATGGAGAACTATCTCTCCCAACAGCGCGTCCACGTCTTTTCCAACGTCGGCGTGCTAATCTACGTCTTCGACATTGAATCCCGCGACGTCGACCGCGATCTCGCAACCTACGTCTCGATCCTCTCCGCTTTACTCCAATACTCCCCCGCTGCAAAGATTTATATCCTCATTCACAAGATGGATCTCGTCGTCCCTACGGCACGTGAGTCTGTTTACGATGAGCGCATCCGGGTTGTGCGACAGAAAACGTTCGAGTATGCGAATTCAGTGGGTATTGCTGCGTCGTCGATTGAGCTTACGCCGTTTGCGACGTCGATTTGGGATCAGAGCTTGTATAAAGCCTGGGCGTCGATTATTCACGACCTTGTGCCTAACCTCTCCGTCATTGAGCGAAATCTCGCGAATCTGGGTCTCGCCATCGAAGCCGAGGAGTTACTACTGTTTGAGCGCACATCGTTCCTTGCCGTATCATCCTGGACATCATCTGAAGGTCAACGAAACCCCACAGAGGATCGACTAGAGCGCATGTCCAACATCATGAAGCATTTCAAGCAGAGTATTTCGCGCTTCACCGGTACACCGCGCAACGCTGAGCAGTTTATTCGTATGGAGCACAAGGCCGGCAATCGATTCAGTCTGTTTATTCTCAAGTTTACGACAAACACGTACCTCATGGTGGTTCTTCCACCTGGAGAAGCTCGCTTCAATGCTGCTATGCTCAATTGTCAGATCGCTATTGAGCACTTCAGATTTTTGGATGGCCCCGCAACTCCAGCTCCCAACACCGCTACTGCTGCCGCCTAAACTGATAAGACCAGATAGATCGGAGTTATCATGGCGTATGGCTTGTTATTTGGCGTTAGGTGTTGAGATACCACTCCAGGTGATATTTTTGAGTATCAGTTACAGATATGCATACATGGCTTATTTACAATTCATTTCGCATTTTAGCTATCTGTGATTCTATCCATGACCTCTATAAGTCAATGCTAGCATCTGCATTTGTTGGCCAGTCCGTAAATCAACCTCAACGCCGATTTTTCCATATCTAAGTCCACTTGACAACGGCGGTACCTCCCTTCTTGAATTCGGGCATCTCTCCAAGAACCATGCTGCGGTCGGTATGATCCTTGTTGGGGAATGTTGTGGAAAGAACCCATGATCTAGATCGTGTGTCTGGTGACGCTCCCTGTACGAAACCGTAGACATCGTCGATAGTGTGGGTGGTGTTGAATCGAGCAGGTAGACGTGTGCCATCGGGCATCTGAATTCGGATCATGATTGTGGGTTGAGAATCGTCGACGCTCGGAGCATTGGATGAAGATGGAGCCGCGGAAGTAGCGGCAGGGACAGCGGAGGAAGAGCTTGAGCCCTCTACGCCAGGAACAACAGCTCCAAGACGTTGACCAGAGCCACCGAAAGGTTTGTACTTCTTGGGTTGGGGCTGGTATGGTGTTTCGTGCTGGTGAAGCTTGACATCGATGGGTTGGTCATGCTGCACGTTCATGAGATGAAGGGGCGCGCGACCAGCTCGAATCAAAGCGAGGTCGGCCTGGTTTGCGGGATCATCGAAGCGGCGAAGGTCACCGTCATCAATGCTGAAACCATCTTGCCAGATGTGAAGAACTCGCTCTTGAGGTTCGGCATTCGAAGAGCGAGCTGGGCCGAGAGGATCAGGAATGCTGCGGCTCTCGACACCGTCTCCGCCAAGTGTCTGTCCAGTTCCTCGGAAGCGACTGGGCTCAGAAGGGCCAGCCTCGTTCTCAGCTTCGGGGCGTTGAGCGTTACTGGCTTGTTAGCTGGATCCTCCTTTAGGTGTGCTTGGTGACTTACGCTCGTGCTTTGGCGAGAATGTCACTGATGATCTTCTTGGGGCCGCCCTCTTGGTGAGGGTCTTGGACAGCCAATCCAGACTTCTCACCACCTGCAAACAGGTTTCCTCGCCCATCATCGTCTTCGGCGTCGAAATCATCATCATCGTCATCACCATGATCGTGTTGGTGGGATGAGCTACCGAGAGATCCTAGCGTAGCAATTCCCCTCTTCTTCTGTTGTGATGCGGCAGGTTTGCGAGCTGGCTGATTACTGCGTGCAGCCTCTGGAGCAGGTCGACCGTCGAGGGTTCGAGGACCGGTGTAATTGTCGGGAGCGGGAGCGGAAGCTGTGGATGTGTCGCGGTTATCCTCTTCGGCATCACGGAACCAAGCATTGCTGGCCTCGGCGAGATCCCAGTTGTGGGCTTCAAGATACTGTCTGGCCTTGGGTATGTTAGCTGGACTACTTAGTATGCGTTGGAGAGATGCGAACCTCTTCAGGACTTGCGCCGCTTAAGCCTGCAAACTCCACGATCTGGGCTTCGTGGTCTGCCATGTTGACGATTGAGGCGGGGTAGTTGAGATGTGTATTGATCAAGATTTTGGGTGTGACGAAGTTATGAGGTGCGTTGGTAGATTTGGGGGAGATTCGGTCGAGATAAAAAGACACGTCAATGCCAAAGTGTGTTTGTTGATGAAGGTTAAAAGCAAACAGGCAGGCAGCTTGCTCGTCACCTCTAAGCAAAGGAAGCTCTGGGTTGGTGGCGGTGGGCTCCTCCACCCCACCTTCCTTGACTGGGCCATGACACAAGTGGAGACCCACTCACCACTTCAACGGAAGTCAGGTCCATCTATGCCCCGGTCCTGCAGCCTTACGTAAGGATCTGGGGGAAGCAAGCGCGACGGTTGAGAAGCCGAGATCGTCAACAACCTCTTCAGAAGCTAGTCCAAGCCGACAACGACCAACAATCGAGCTTCAAACGATTAATATCTTCTGATCTTCTCCGAACGAACGATTGCACCTCGGAGCCCGCCATGTCCGACGAACACAACCATCTCGCCGAGTCCGGCGTCACATTGCACTCCGACAGCGAACTATACTCTGCAGGCGATGACCTCTCTTCACCTCCCTCGTCAAACTCACCCGTCATTCTCTACAAGCCTCCAACGGTGTGGTCATTGATACGAGGAGCTGCCATCAATCTCCTACTACCTTTTGTCAACGGCATGATGCTTGGATTTGGAGAGTTGTTTGCTCATGAAGCTGCTTTTAGACTGGGTTGGGGAGGTACAAAGGTACGCTATACTTCGCAATTATGCTTCGAGTTTATCGAAATTTACTGACAAATCCAGGTCTTCCCCCTCTCGCGAAGACGAGTTCACCCTATCGGACCTGGTATCGAGCTTCGAGAAAAGTCATATGCTCCTCGCCCTTCGCTGGACGATTTTGCAAGCCTGGAGTAAACTGTCGGAGAACCATTTACCTTACGGATTCTTATCCATTACCCTCAAGACACACTCATCGCTATGAATCATCTACGAAAGAGCAGGGACGGATGAATGCATGTCATGTTAAATAATTTGAGACTATATATTAGACAGGAACATGGATTGTGGCGTTTCGTTGCACCGGTGGTTCAAAATGTAAAAATCACTCATTCGAACGCAGCGACGTCAATTACAACCGCTCGACTCAATCTCACAACTCTAATCACCCCCAATCGACTCGTCACAGGCCGAGGCCTAATGACAAGGTCATTCGGAGATCATCGGTGACGGACTATCGCGAACCCGACATTTACCCGCCGGTCCCGGAAAACCTCCAAAAAATTCCCAGCAACATCGCGCAACTTATTGTCCGACCCATCCCACTTCATCACCGCCGCAATGCTTCCCAGCCGAGGAATTGTGCGCTCTTTGCCTTCGGGCGCTTTCCAGAGGCCATGTGGTCATTCTGTGTGTTCACCACCGACCAATTAAAAGACTACACTAACAATTGTAGATGTCAAGGACCCTGGGTAGAAAATTCGATGCTCGACAATTCGGTACAGCGTTGAGAAGCGCTCGCACACCTCTTACGGCTGGGACAAGAGTTGGGGTCAAGAATGTTGCTACGCCTATTGTTTTAGGAGGTATTGCTTCGTCGAGGCAACTCTCCCTCTGGGGTTACAACATCTACGGAAAGAAGAAGACAGAAGAGCCAGCTGTTGAAGCCGTCACAACGCCAGAAGCTCCCACTCCTCCCGAGACTATCGATCCTACACCTATCAACGATGCCCCTACTCTTGCCGCCGATAAGGTCGCAGACGTGACAGAGTCTGCTGAACCATCTTCCGTTTTACCCTCCGAATTCGACCTCGAAAGCATTGCCGACCTCGCCAACCCTAGCATTCTTACCATGCCCGAGAACATTGGTTTCCTGAAGGAGATTGGCCTCGATTACGGCTGGGGTCCTACATCCGTCATGCAATGGGTCCTCGAACACGTTCATGTGTATACCGGTCTTGGATGGGGTGGTTCCATTGTCGCAACTGCACTCCTATTACGTGTCATCATGATCTACCCTCAACTTCGCAGTGTCAAGTTTAGCGCTGCCACGGCCAAGATGAAGTCGGATCCTCGATCCAAGGAAAGTCTGGAGCTTATGAAGAAGGGTTATCAGACAGGTGATCGGGAGATGATTCAAAAGGGACAGTTTATTGGTAACATGGTCCGAAAGGAATACGGCACCGAGGTCAAGAACATGTTCTGGGCTTTTGTACAGATTCCCTTCAGTTTCGGTCTCTTCCGAGTCATCAACGGCATGATTCACATCCCTGTTCCCTCCATGGAGAACGCTGGCTGGGCCTGGTTCACTGACCTTACGGCTGCCGACCCCTTTTACGCCCTCCCCATTGCTGGTACAGTTCTCCTGGTCGGCACCTTAAAGGTAAGATTTCCGGTTTCTACTTGATAATCTATCTAACGTCAGTTTAGCTCAACTCCAAATACACACCCCCAGAGCAAAAGGCCATGATGAAGAATATGGTCTACGTTATGAGTGCTGTCACTCTATTCGCTACAAGCTTCCTCGGCGCCGGTGTTAACCTCATGATGGTCTCCACTGGAGCTGCCACCTTCGTCACCGCCGCAATTCTCAACAACGAGTCCGTCCGTCGCGCTCTTGATCTTCCCATCCCCAAAATCGAGGAGCCCGTTTACAAGGCCCCCCGCGTCACTCAGGCCAAGGGTATCGAGGGTCTTCGTGAGCGTCTCACCGATAACCTCGACAACATGAAGAAGAGCGTCTCTGATCAAGTCGGTAACATGACGAATCAGTACAGCGGTACCGCTGAGGAGCGAGCTGAGAAGGCGAGAAAGGAGCAGATTCAGAAGCTTGAGAATATGCGCCGAAAGTTGGAGCGTGATGAGTTTAACAAGAAGTACAAGCGATGAGCAATTGTATCACAAATAACTGTAAAATAAGGATAAACTTCACTGTTCAATCGGATCAGGCATTGTATAATAGGCATTGGAGGAGAGCGACATGATACCGGGGGGCTTTTGCATGACTGGATATAAAAGTGTCTGCATGTATCTATCGATGTAATAGAAACACAACTAACCATCCCAATTAATCTGTTCAAAGTCAACTCAACTCAACTCAATGATTAAGCGGTAAACGCCTTTAACGACTTGACTTATGTCTCAATTATAAAACTAGGCAAACCCCCTGCCAAGGTTCCTTTTCCGCCCTGCAGCTCCCTTTTGCCCATTCCATGTCAATTCATCTGTTGTGTAATAAAAACCACCACCTTTTGCCATTTGATACAGCAAAGAAACATATCTTCTTGTTTAATTGAATAATGCTTTGATGCTTTCGAAGAGAGTTTAAAAAAGAAACTTTAAGCTTCACGCTCTATTCCCAGTTTCCGTAATGTTCATTTCAGTTAATACGTCCAAGAAGGGCATATGAAACAGCGACTTTTTTTTTTTAGAATACGGTGCCGTCGCTCTCGATAAGGATCGGGGGCTCCTTGGTATTAGGTCTGTTGATTTCGGCAATCTCACGGCCGCCCTGGAATGAGTTAGCATTGTTTTGTGGTTTCGGGTTTCGGGGATGTTGTTTTGTGGAATAAACTTACCCTCCAGCTACCAGCCTCTAGCAACTGCGCCAAAGTCAGTTCATTTCCACCCAACTCTGACTTCAGCGCCTTGTTAACCTCGACGCACAGCATATCGAGGAAACCAACTGTGACACCTCTCCACTCAACGATGACATCGTCGCTGGGCTCAAACATGGGCGCTACCTCGACGCCCTTTGCGCCTGTCCGTTGCACCCACTCGTTGTAGTTCTGAAGACCCCTCTCCAAATCGTCCTTCCTCAAGTTCAAGACACCCATATCGACGAAAAGACCGCCGTTTCGGTACTCGGGCAGACCAGTGAGCAATTCTGTTCCGGCAAAGTGCATCTTGAGGAGCTGTTGCATGGGTTGCATGAGCGAGTAGGTGAGCCATTGGGTGAGCTTGTGGAAAGGAAGAATAGATTCCCAAGCAGCGGCGTTTGAGCTGTTGGGGAAAGCGGAAACCTTGGGAGATGCGCCAGGTTGAGGCATAGCCTGGCAGGGCCAAGCGTCACCGAGAGAGACACCATTGATCGCGGTCCGGTTTGGTGGCCAGATGGGAGCGAGGCCGGTCATTAGGACGTTCCACAGAACGGGCAGGGGAACGATAAGCATAGACGAAGCTTGTGTTGAGGGGTGACCGAGGAGATGGTCTAAAAAAGATTAGCTTTGTCGCAGGAGGCCGTTAAAGTTACATACCGATTAAGCATCCAGGGCGACCCTCAAAGCCCCAGAAATCGTCCTTAGCGGCTAAAGCTTCTCCAAGGCGGATCAGGAGATCGGTGCGACCCTGAATACCAGCCATTTCATTGCCAGGTTTCGATTGAAGACCAGCAGCGAGCTTCTCGACGGTGAGATTCTTGAGACCATCCTTGTCGACTTGGAATTTGTTGTTGGGGTTTCCAGAAAATAATCCCTGCCAATATTAGCATCTTGTAATGCGACAGAAAATCTGTACTCACAGTCTTGAACATCTCCAAGCTGGCAACTGCGATACCCTCTGATCTTCTGTACACGCGACCGTTTTCATTACTCTTGTATTGCCAGGAAGTGCCAGCGCCCGCATCTAGAAGCACGCTGACTAGGAAAAGGTCGATCAAACGTCGACATCGCTCTGTGTTGTCCACATTGGTGGGCCAGGTGGAAAGAAGCTGGGCAATACGATCTCGACCTCCAACAGCAAAATGCTGGTATCTACCATGTCCGGGAATGCTGAGGAAGGGGGCATCATAGTCTCGCTGCAAGCTGTTAGCTAGAAATTTGGCGATATCCATTGTTATTCACCTTGATGATTCCTGTAACAAAAGTAACCACATCGGGAAACTTGCCCATATCCACATCGAAATGCTTCAACTCATTGCGCAGCGCCTTGTCTGTGACAATCTTGCTTCGCTCTCTCACAGCACCAAGACTTCGCAAGTAACCAGCAGGGTCGAGTTGAGGGTCCGGAGGTCGAGGGAGATCGATCTTTGGGAGTTTGACTGGAGACATTGGGCCACCAGGAGATGTGCTAGTAGCTGAAGTTCGATTGAGGGGGTTGCGGTTGGCGCCAGGAGCAGGAGATCTCAAGCTCGAAGAATGCGAGTTTACGCTCACATTGGATTGGGAGGTGTTGATGGCCTGGTCGCCTTTTGGCGTCTTGTCTTTACGAGAAAACAGGCCCATCTTGACGGGCTTGTCGGAAATAACGGTTACACAGTTGTTGTACAGAATCGAGGAAATTCGTGTTTGTTGTATGTAGAAACTGATCTGGGCTGATAGAAAGACCAGACGAGAAAGCTGATGCTTCGGGGAGGTGGGGCCTCTAGGGACGATGGACTGAACTGGTCTGGACTGGAGGGGAAGGGTCCGTGAGTGGGCGCGCAAGCAGAGGCGGGCGGAAGAGGGTGAGAGAGGGACGAGCGTCTGTTGTGCTTCTGCGTCTTGGTCGTGGCTGCGTCGAGGATCGGAACGAAGCGAGAAATGATTCGACGGCTACAGCGCGGCATGCGCGGGCGTTGACCTCGTGTCTTTGATGCAAGGGAGCAAGCAATTGAGATCTGACAGGACCTGATTCAGCGTCTAAAAAGTCTCTTTTCTGCAGAAGCAAAAAACTATATTAAACGACAAAAACAGAAACGGTAGACAAGAGGGAAGGGGATGGGGGTAGGAAGACGGGGCACGGCGCTTTTGAGGAACCCAAAGACCCAAGAGCCAGAGCCAGAGCCAGAGCCAGCCAAACTTAACAAGCCAAAGTCGACTGAAGTGAACTGACTGACTGACCAGGGAGGCCCAGGCATCTCGGAACAGATGAGCAGAGGCAGTCAAAGTGTATCCACACCCGGTCCAAGGACCCTACGCCTACCAGTCGCCAGTAGGAAA